GTCTGGAAGAGACTTTCATAGTTTACTGAGGACATCTTGTGGAGAAATTTAAAACTGCAACTGTTTCTTGTTTGTATTGGTCCAACAGCTGTTACTGGTGGGGGTGGATACTGACTAAACGTTTTGGAATATAGCCTCCACTAAAATATAACAGGATTGGATTTAGTTACTACTGAAATGGAGAAACCATATTCACAACTCAACTGTAAAGTCATACTGGAAAAAATTTATGAAGCTACTGAGGAAATATGTTCCCAAATAAGAGAGAGAACTGCAGAAATAATAAACAGAAATTCTACTGTGAACTTACAAACTGACCTTCAGACTCTATTTTATCATTCTACAGACCAAAAAGCAATAGAAGAGGAATTAATTTACATACAATCTATGGAGACTTTGGATGACCAAAAAACAATTGTAACTAAACTATCTACAATTGCAAAATTAACAGAAATGGACTTGAAATTACAACTGTTGGAGAATTATGACAACTTTGATAATCAACTACTAATTATAAAATTGGACATAATCGAGTGTTTTATCCAGCAGACAGGAGCCAGCAGATGGGAGGTCTTTTACTGACCCAAATGACATTACAAGCAATAATGGGAGATCTATTTGCTGAAATAGAGGCTTTGTTATGCAAACCTTCTTGGCATAAAAAGAAAGCCAGAATAAGACTAAAAAGAGAAATTTAAAATGATATGTAATGGATTAAAAAGGTTTTGAGAAATATGGATTGATTTAAGGACTAAGATTTAGAGTTGAAAATTTGTGATTATTAGAATATATATGTTAAACAGAGTAAGAATGTATTTTTGGGAATAATATGTTTATTTGTATGAAAATTATTTTATAATGGAATGAGAATAAGAATATGAAAGAGGTTTTTAGAAATTCGGATTGCTTTAACAACTAATTGAGTGTGTTAAGTTAGTAAGACAATGTTTTGTGTAACAATAGGTGTGTTCTTTTTTTTAGACATGATAATTATTTGAATGAGATTTAAATGCTATCTGAAGAAATAAGAGAGATTTGTGACAAAATCAATGATTTATAAGATTATGAATTAGAATATATCTGGATTAGTATTTTAGAAGGGATATCCAAAGTGATAATACATTTATCTAAGATAAAATTGGACTATGGTAACTGTAAATTAATAAAGTTCAAAACAGGATTAGGATTTATAGATATGTAATGTAGAAATGGATTATGTTAAATAGGTTATATTATTTGAGGGAAATAGAGAGGGAACATTTAATGTTTTTACTTGAGCTATTATTTTGATTTTGTTTTTGGATGATTGGTCACCTAATCACAGTGTGTCTTGAGCATTGTTGTAAAAGTTAAAAAACCAATAAAATTTATTATAAAAAAAGAAAGAAAAATGTAGCTTTAATAAACATTATTGTTTTGGAAAATGATCAACCAGGGATGTCTGCAGAGTATGGTTTTAAAAAATGCAACACAGAGCTTTAATAGAACCATCATGGCTATACATAAACCTCCTCTATGATCTTTGACTTTTTTGCCCATTATCTTCTGACACCTCTGTCAGGATGGGTTCCAGAATCTATCAGAGAAATGTGTAAACAGTGTAAGGATTTAGCTCTGATTTTAATGAGCCAATCCCTTGGTTTAGTGATGCAGATTACATTAATAATATAGCAGAATTTATTTTAAAATATTGTTATCCAGAGGTTTTGGTAACACAGCTTGTCTTTTGATCAATCCTTAAAAAAAACTTTGCCAGATAAAGATTTAATTTTGGATTACAGTATGAAGCTGAATTTTAGGATTAGAAGAGAACATTCAAATTGGCTCTGGAAATCATATATAACTTAAAATGACTGTTGACTCTTTCACCAGAGATCCAAATGGCCCATTCCCAAGCAGAGCTTGTCCCATCTTGAAAAAGGATATGGATTCACAGCACTTTTCACTAAATGCATCTTTTTGGTGTAGTGGTTAAGGCACCAGACTAGAAACTGGAAGTTCTAGTTCTGCCTTAGGCATAAAGCCAGAAGTTGGATGGTTTTGGGCCAGTCACTTTCTTTCAGCCTTAGGAAGAAGGCAAAGGCAAACCACTATGGAAATCCTGCTGAGAAAACTGAAGGGATCCATCCAGGCAGCTGCCAAGCATCAATGCTGACCTAAAAGGGACCAAAAAGGAGTATCTTGCTGAGAGATAGCAAACTCCCATTCAGCCAAGGTTTTGGAAAGCTGAAGCATCAGAAAACATGGAAATAAAGCACTTGTTAGTCTCTTGTAAACATATCCACTTTCAGTCATGGTTATGCCTCTGTTGGATCATTATGAGAAGCTATGTAGCCACATTTATACTCCAGTGATTCTAGGGCTGACAGGTAGCTGTCACACACTCTGAATCCATTCCATGCTAAAAGCTGTGCAAACACAAGGGAGCATGTCTCCCAGATAATATAATTTCAAATTAACCGTGCTTGGCGTTCAGAGATTTCAAACTGCATGGGTGTTATTGATTGATGGAAGATTAATATCAAATCCTGCTGGCACAATCCAGCTGCCAGTCCAGACTGAAGATCTGTCTCACTACTTTCTTTGCTGCCCCATTTGTTTTATTGATATTGGGTCCTACTATCTCGATTCTGAAAAAGAGAGAACCTTGCTCAGACATTATGAAATGTGAGCAGCTTATCATGGGAGTGTTCCCATTAGCCTGCTCTTGCTGACATTTTGCAAATAAGGTCTTTCTCCTGAAAATATTCACTGCAAATTTTTGTCAAGAGAAACATCTTTGCACAGGCGTGTACATATTGATTTCCCTACATACCAAATTTATATGCGCTGATATTATATGTATCTTGCACTATATGCATTTGTGCCTTGCCTTATATGCATTTGTGCTCACCTAGAAATGTTTTTCAACCATAACTCTTTAAGAAGAGTTAACTTTTAACTTCCCAAATCCCCCAGGCAACTCTACTGGCTGAAAAAGTCTGGGATTTTAAGTTCACACCTTTTAAAATTGCCAAGGTTGAAAAACATCAACCCAGAAGCTAGGTAGATAGCTTTTATTTTGCAGATATTTCCAGTGAAGACATTATCTGAGTGAGAGCAGTAAAGCAGCATGGTGGTGCTTTGGTTTTTATGATGCCTGAACTGAGCTAATGCATGGTCATCTTAGATCACTGACTTTTTTATTTATTACTAAGATCACTATGCTGTTCCAAGCTAAGCAATTCTGAGGTTACACTCCTGCCTACAGTATTAAGGTTGGGAATGTACAAAAAAATAGCATTAAAGTACAAGACAAATAATCAAAAATCCATCATGTGATCCATCATGCAGCTCCTTAACTGTAGACAAAGAATGGTCAGTTCCATCTTCAGTTTTTCTGAAAGGGCTGGGACCTCACTTATGACTATGAGCTAGCGTGAATTCTTGAATTGCCCTCGACTCCTCCCTCAAGTAAAGCATATGGAAATCATTTATGACTAGAATCTGGATTAATAGGGTTAATGGATTTCAACACACCCAGATTGTTCCTTAGCTCAAGCACACAAGCAGGATCCAATTCATTATCCCCATCCTTTCCTGCTATGAGATCTTGGCTGATGCAATCCTGACACATGGATGATGTCTTGGTGATACAAACCAGATGTACCCTCTCTTCCGCAATCAATCTTACAAATTATAGTCAACGAAGTGAAAGTCACAGCTCTCAATAGTAAAGGCGACTCCTTTACAATGTAGCGAATATCTTGTATGAATCTGATGAAACAAACTTGATTGCTTTCCACTTTGCTTTGCTTTGCATAAGCCTCCTTTTGCAGGTTATGTGTACACAATTTTGAATTTTACTTGTAAGTTCAAAAGGAATTGTCCAGGGTTTATCTGTCCAAAATGTGTTGTTGGATGATCCTCAGAATTGCTAGTTGAAAATATTGAGAAGGGAAATGCCACAATGGGGAGGAATAGATTTGGAGAACAGGAGATAAGAAAGAACTGCATTTGGCCGAACAGGAAAATGGTTGAACTGCCAAACAAATTGCAAGACCCTAGCAATCTCTGTGTGCCTTCTAGTAGCTCATCTTAAAGACTTAATCTGGTTGGAAATGAGAAACTTACTCAGCACAATATGCCTATCTTACATTTACACTACTTAAGCTTTCAGCTTCAATTCTTTCTGCATTTTAATCATTTAATAAATGGAATGAAGTGACCTGCCACAATGTTAGTTTAAAGAGTCAGCAGAAAAAAAAAATTGTACCTCAGGGTTGAAATGAGAGGTCCTTGGTGCTCCCTGAGTTGGTTGTTTACTTGTAGATATTTCATGACCCAAAATAGGTAACATAATCAGTTCTGGTAAGGACTGGAGTTCTCCATTCCCTACCAGCAGCATTGATGTTATCTAGTTTGAGTAATAAAACATCTGCAAGAAAACAACCAAGCTCAGAGAGCACCAAAGACCCCTCAGTTTAAAAGAGCCACTAGATTCTTTACTGTTGGTGCTACAGTGGAATTAAGGGCTTATTACACAAGCTAATAGAAATAGGAAGCTTCAGGGACATAATGACTGAATTGTAGAACCTGGTATGAATTTTTCTAATAGAATATTCTAAGCAGTAACATGACTCAAGCTTTTTCTAGCAAATAACTCTGACCAAAAGTGCAAGCAACTTAGGGTAAATGTCCTAAACACACAGCTTAACCTCAAAATATAGATATATCAGTGCATTGTACTTAACTTCTAGTTATTCCCTTTTAAGGTTGGTATTTGATGGCGTCAAGTACTTCAGGCAGTATGAGACTTTTTTTAAAGTTTATGTTTTTAAAACTATTCCAAATTTATTTGATAGGGCAATTCAGTAGGCTTTGCCTGCATTTGGTTTGATCAGATTAAGAACAATATCTGAAGAATTCATCATGTCACTTATCTTAATGGCTCATAGACTTTCCTTGTCTAAAGGTGATTTTTTTTCAGTTATCATAATCTATTGAATACTTTTCTGAAATTAAAAGCTAAAAATTGAATACTTTATTTGTGATGTTGCAGAGAAAAAGGAGAGAAACATCTTGTGTATTAGAATAAACATTACAGGCTTACAGAGTATACAAACGTGGTCAAACATCTTTTGTTCAAATCAATACTAAATTTAATGCCACAGAAATAGGGATTCATTAATTTCTCATAATGAAATAATCCCTTTGCAAGTTTGACATTTCACAGAAGCTTGCCAGAATCAAGGTTTAGCCAGATGTTTCATGGACTGAATCTGAACTTCAAATTAAATTTATGTAGCCACCATTTGCGTTACTGAACACACAATAAATTATGCTTACAGCTTTACATATGAGGAAAAGTTGACACAAGAGTCTGAGTTGGATCCAGACATATATCATGCTTATGGATCATCAAAATTAATGGGACTTAGGTTAATCACACATATTCTAAATCTGGAGTACCAAAAATGTTATATTTCATATATATTCCATTGCAATGCTATTTTAAACCATTCCCAGAAAGTAATGTTTATCTGCTCATTGAAGGCTATTTTCTAAAAAAAATATTTGTTCCTTAGCCTCCTTTTCCCTACAAATAACAGCTAGAAAGTTACTTGACTCTATGTGCCACACAGTTGTGGTACTATTAGTGATAAAAGACATAATAAAGATTGACTCTGAGGGAGAGGACTTAATGGCCAAGACCTTATTCTATTATCATGATCTTATTGGACTTCAACTCCCATGAGATGAAAGCCGCTAGTTGTGAGGGCACATCATTTTGATTTAATTAGAGAGCTTTTAGTATACAGGGTAATCTGTAACATAGGCACCCAGTTTTTATATACAGATCAGCCCCTAACTTATGACATTTTAAAATGTACAATCAGAAATCTTTATTGCCTGCATAGAACAGTTTTAGTCATGAAAATGGATGAAAAGAGTCTATGGGTTTATTTATTTTTCCTAAAGGCATTTTGCTGGTCTGCTCTCAGGGCAATGCAGACATTTTCCACAGTAATTCATAAATCAAGATGCACCATCCAGTTATCTACTTAAGATGGCAAAGGAGAGAATAAGGAGCCAGTCCATTGCTAAAAATTTATTCTGAAGCCTTGCTTTAAGTCTTTATTACAAAAGATGGTTTATGTTTGCCACATTATTATAAACTGAGGTTTTTTTTGTTTCTACTATTATAAAAGTAGAGTATGTTCTGAGTCATTTTAAAAAGCAGGCCAATTGTTTTGGTATATAAACTGTACATCAACAACAACAAAAAAACAAGGCACTATACATTTTTGGGATATAAATTTGGATTCAGTGAGATTTTCTAGAAATGTTTATGATAATTCTTGGTTCAGTTTAGCAGCTGAAATAGCTCTGAGACTAATACTTTTGCAATGAAAACACTCAGAATGAGGGAAGGAGGGAGGGAGGGAGGGAGAGGAAGAGGGAGAGAGGGAGAGAGAGAGAGAGAGAGAGAGAGAGAGAGAGAGAGAGAGAGAGAGAGAGAGAGAGAGAGAGAGAGAGAGAGAGAGAGCGAGAGGAGAGAGAGAGAGAGAGAGAGAGCATAAAATCAGCCATAATACAAGATAATAATAAGTCTAGCTACTTTCCTGGAACTTTCTTTACAAAAGTATTGAAAATGAATAATACAAACTGCATTGTTAAATACATCCTTCTCCTATGCGTTTACATAAATACAAATCCTTTTGAAAATCCACAGCTTGAACAAAATAACACTTTACAAAAAGAGCATTTTCAAAACCCAAATGACACGTAGTGTGGGTAGCCAAAGGATCAGCAATCAGAAAAGTTCCTGTTCAGAGTACAGAAAACATAATGTCTAAATCTGGCCTGCACTTTGGAGTTGTTGCCCACCAAATGTCTTCCAAAGATGCTTCTTGCACACTTACATTATGGTGTGACTTCAGAACAGATAGCAGAGCCTAGTAACTTCAGGCAGAATCTTTCTTTTGAGGGTGAAAACGGGCACACTACTTTGGCCAAGAGGTGCAGAAAATGTCAACAGGTCATGTTCCACTCCAGCTCCAGCCCATGACGACAATTCTGGCTCTTTCAGAAAAGCCCTTTTGCCTTTTTGAGGTTCACCTGCTTCCAGGAAGGCAGTGTGTTGTATTCTTCTCTAGTTAACTGTAATGCAGTCTGAATTAAAAACCAGAAGGCATTGAAAAGGATTAGAATGTAAGAATTAAAAAATGTAGACAAACATACAAAAGGAATACAAAGCAGAGAGATAACAGTGAGTTATTTCCTCTAGTTTACCTCAAAGTCCTCATTTGAAAGGTAGATTTCAAGATTAAGGGGGTCCACTCCCTCAGGGAGAGGCCTTGCTAAGAGATCAGCAAGTGGATAAAACTTTTGGCACAGCTTGGCCAGCACATCTTCTACCAGGATGATCTGATTAGAAGCTTCAGCATCCTGAGGAAAAAAATCAGAGATCACAGAAGAAAATAATCCAAACAGAAGCAGTAAACACAAATAAACTGAACCAAACAGTTTCACACTAAGTTTGAATTCTTCAAGGAAGCAGCCTCAATTCAACCAAGTAATCTCTACAGAGAAATCAAGTTTGTTTGTTTGTTTATTTACTTGCTTATTTACATCAAGTCAGTGTTGACTCTTGGCAACTGTCTGGACTGGTCCCTGTGGGTTAGCATCATTTTTAGACGTGGTTTGCCCTTCCCAGGGCTGAGATTTAAACACATTTCTTCTTTTTCTCTTAACTATCTTAGATACCATTTCCATTTCTTTCTAATGCTCTTATATGCTTCTATCCCATGTTCAATAGGAAGCTGCCTATTCTTTTACTGATTCTCCTGCTCTACCTGCTGCCCATCAACTTCATATCTTTGTGTCTATTAATCGGATGAGCAAATCTTGCGTACTCTAGGCCAGATTTTGCAATGATTTGTCCAGCAACCTGTTTCCCATATTACCACATATATCAAGCAACAGATCTTCTATAACACTTAGTTCTTAGAATTCTAATCCAATATCTCCAATATATCTATAGTTGGAAAAGGTTGTATACTGTAAAGTATGCATTATTTCTTCTATTCTCCCTCTCTTTTTATTTACTTTTGGTTCTAGCCTACTTCCTAGATATCAGTGGTATATAGCAGGTCATTGTACACTGTTTTTCAATATATATTGGTTGGGGAGGGGAGATATATGAGTCAGTCTCAACCCCTTTATATTTTGTATTAGGAAGCTTCAGCTGACTTTCTCTCTGCCTATGGTATGCATAGATCAATGGTCCCCAACCTTTTTGGCTCTATGGACTGGCAGCATTGGTGGCAGTAATGATGATGGGGGAGGGGAGAGAGGACATGGTTTCCCATGCACCATGTGTGGAAATTCACACACTTACGTGTGCGCTCGCCATTTGCATGGCCTGGGAGTTGGGGACCCCTGTTATAGAAAGCTATCAGAGACAGATGATATAAGGTAGCAATATTGGATGGGACCTGTAGGGTCAAAAAGGACACATTGAAGGTGTGTCAATATCATGACAATATCAAAGTCAATAAGAAATTTAATGCAAAAATTAAGGATAAGGTCTGCACTAGGAACCTCCAGCTCTCTTTTATTAGTCTTATATCTTTTTCTACTAGGCTTTTGGCAACCCTGCCTTGCTACCATGTTGGAGATTAGCTATTAAAAATGGTGCAATCTATCGATGGCTTATGTCTAGAGTTCCTCCTGTTTCTTTTTCAGCCTCCTCCCAATCTCTTCTATATTGTCTGTGATAAAATTGGCAACCACTAGGCATGTGGAAGATTAGCAGATCTGTACAAAGCCTCCAAGTTACTGATCTTGTAAAGAGACAACATTGTGAATCACTCATTCCCAATCTCCAGTTTTGCTGAATGCCGTAAGACATTCCTTACAATGTTCGGTAATTTTCCACTATTGGCTGGTCATTTTTAGACAAACTTTTAAGTCACATGACAAAATGAGAACATTTAAACAGAGAAATGTATGATTTCTAACTACTAGTAAAGGAATTTAAGCAAGAGGGAACAATGAGGATACTGGGAAAAATGAAAATTAATAAAGAATGAAAATTAATAAGATTTGGGTTCAAAAATAAATCGATGTAGAATTGTTTGTGGACTTTCCAAACACAAGACAAACCAGAGACCAGTAAATTTTCTGTTCTTTTCTGCTTTGAGGTATTTTTGCCTCCCTGAAAGTCTAATGAGGAAAGTTTTCTTGCTTACATTTCTCCATATTTTGCTCAATTTTCTCTGAAAACTTGTTCTTGCTCAGGGAATCTTTTAAACTTTTAGGAAACTCTTCAAATGAGCTAAATATTTACTGGGGTTTAATAAGCTTTTTCTTACTAGTTATTCTTTGAATATTTAATAGGACAAGAGCTTGCTTGGCAAATGCAAATATTGCTTTATCAAGAATAATGTTTTATATGCCAAACCAACCTAATGTTATTTTTTTAAAAAAATACTGATCAGTTAACTAAACATACAAGTGCAATGGGCACAAGCATATCTTGAGTTCACCAAAGCATTCAACAAAGTCTCCCGTGCTATCCTAATAAAGAAGAATAAGCTGGACTATACTGCCATTATATGGAAGTAAAATTGTTAAACAATCCTACTCAGCAAATGTACATCAATGGCTCTGAATCAAATTAGAAGAAACGATTGGGTGGCCTATCACAGGGCTCAATTTCACATCCTATCCCATTCAACATATTTATAAATGCTTAGATTGAACATTAAAAATATACTGTATAATAGGCAGAAAGCAGCAATGTGAATTTCAATAGAAACAAATGCATCATCCTATATTTGGATCAAGAAAGCCAGAGACATAAATGTGAGACTGATCAGTCAAAGAATCAATGAGTCGGGGTGCTTCATACCTGAGCAGGAGCCAACACTTTTACACAAGCGAAAAAAAAAAGTAACAATATCCTACGCTGTATAAACCAAGATTTTACGTCAGGATCAAAAAAAAGTGTTTCTTTCTATTCTGCACAGATCAGACCACATCTAAAATATTGTATCCTGGCTCTAGTGTCATATTTTAGGGTGAGCCTTGACAAACTGGGCTACCAGAAAGAAATATGGTAACAGAGGAAACATTTACAGAGAATAGTTGGAAACACTAGCTATGTTTAATCTGGAAAAAAGAAATTTGTGAAAAGACATGATAGCTGTCTTCAAATATTTGAAGGGGTGAAAATAACACTTGACTTGCTTAATTATTCCAGAATAAAGGAAAAGAATAGTTGGATCTATATTACAAGGAAGCAGATTTTGATTGGACAAACAGAATTTTCTACTGTAATAGCTGTCTGATAGATGGCCTTGAAAAGGGAGGACATCCTTTTGCTGGAGATGTTTAAAGAAAGGCTGGAAGACCATCTGTCAGGGATTCAGCAATAGTGTTTATTTTTTTTAATCTTTGCAGGGGGTTGTTCGAGATGATCTCAAAGAATCCTTACATTTTATGATTCTATAAAAAGATCTCTGGCATCAGATTCTCTTTAATTGGCTCAGTCTTAAGTTTCATACTTTATTTACAAATTAATATTCTTTTGTAGTTATCTTAAATTTTTATTTTAGCCTTCATATTTCTAAATAAAGCATTCTATTATATCACAAGGAAAAAGGTGCAACTTTCGCAAACTCCAGTTTTTCCACAAACAACAAATCCATTTCCTGAGAAAGATAAGGAGTAGCTCCTGGCCCACAATTTAATAGGCTTTTAGTCCATTGTTATTTTATCACTAAAATATTTCCTTGAGGCTTGGAAAATTAATGAATAGGTAATAAAACATCAGTTGGAATACATCTCCTCCCTATTGTTTTAAACTCACTGCCCTGAAAAGCTTCAAATACCCTATCCAGGTTAATCCCCTGGATTAACCTACCATGATGTTCTAGCATGTCCAAATGCAGATTAGAAAACTGAGAAAGTTGAACAGAAAAGTTCATTTACCATTTCGGTGATTTCAGCAATGTCATCTCTGTGTTCCCAGCTGGGAAACATATTAGTAAATGTCAAAGGCTCAAGACCAGCATGGATTAGATAAGATTTAGGAGGATTCTTCACGTTCTTTCCTATACATTAAGAAAAAAGTGTTAATACACAAAATAAATTAATTACTTACTACAATTCCTAGTAAGGTGATTTTTTTTTTTTGCAAAATCAGAATATTCAGGTCTGATAAGTTCAAAATTTCCATGTATCTAGGCAACTCTTTGGGTATTGCTCCAAGGGTTCCTATTACTATTTGTACAATCATTGATTTCTTCCTCCTCAATTTGCAGATCATAATATTTTGTTATTTTTTTCTAGCTGTTTCTCCTTAATTCGTGCATCATCTGGTATTGCAATATCAATGAACCAGACTTTTTTCTTTTCCACAGTAGTGATGTCAGGCATGTTGTGGGCCAGTTGTATCTGTTTGGATTCAAAAGACTCATAGGATCTTAACTTGCTCATTTTCAAGAACTTTGTCAATCTGGTGTTCCCGGTAATTCTTGTGGCATTTGAACCCAAACTTTTGGCAAAACTTCCAATGTATGATTTTGGCAACTCAATCAGGACATTGTAGATAATCAGTTTGTGAGATTTTGTTATTATTATTTAAAAAGTAATGTTCATGTTTCAGAACACTTTATATGCTAAATTTCAAGGATCTAGATAACCAATCATTTAGGAAATTCAATACATGAAGGGTTGAGATGCTTGGATGAAAAATAAAAAATAAATATAATAAATGTGATTCTATGGCACAACATTACATAAGTAAAATGCTGTAATTTATTATACTTTGTTACAGATAAATATTTACAGATGTCGTTCCCTTATATCATAATTCAAGATTTTTTGAACAACATGTAATGCTAAAACCTTTTACACTCATCAGGAAAGATGTTTTTTCTTTTTTTTCTAGATATGATAATACTCGAATAATTACCATTTTGTTGTAAAAATGATACAAATGTTAATGTGGCATTTGTTAGGGGTTTTTTTTAAACATGAAATGTCACATTATATATTGTGTTAAGTAGCAGTTAGCTAGTAACAATTCATTTGAATTTGCATTTAATTTTTATGATTAATGAAAAGTAACCTGGTGTTCACATATAGCTAAGGAAGGTCCTTGAATCCAGCAGGGAATATTCTATAACTCCATTATGTTTTCTATTTTGATATGCAGTTCTGCTAAAATTCATTTGGCTATTCATTTGGTGTCTTCACACGTCATCCTTAGTGAATCGTGCAAACCAGCATCAGCATTTCCTGCATCGTATGAGGGGAGCACATCTTTCTCCTTCTGTCCTACCCACTTTTTACATAGGCACAATTGAGAATGTTTTAACAAGCTGCATCACTGTCTGGTTTGGGGGCAGCAGAGCCTCAGATAGAAGCTCCATACAGAGATTGATAAGGGCAGCAGGGAAGATCATAGGAAGTTCGCTCCCTTGTATTCAGGATGTGCTTATAAGCGCTGTGTGCTTAGAGCTCAAAGCATTGTTAAAGACCCCACACACCCACTTTACCGTTTCTGTTGCTCCCCTCTGGGAGGAGGTTTCAGAGTATTTCTAGCAGGACTATCCTATTCTGTAATAGCTTTGTTCCCTATGCCATCCCTCTGGTAAACTCGCAAGATTTGTTTTTCTTCCCTTTGCACATGTATACATAACCCAAACTAGACTGTGTTGTTTCTCTGTGTCACATAATATAAGTGAGTATATGCACAATTCTGTATTTATTTATTTTTGTCATATATAGGTAGCCTATATTGGAGGTGATGACCCTTTGAGAGTTGTGTGCAACAAAACTTTATTTTAATGTGTGCCAATTACTGTACATTCAAAGTGACAATAAAGTTATTATTCTATTCTATTCTATTCTATTCTATTCTATTCTATTCTATTCTATTCTATTCTATTCTATTCTATTCTATTCTATTCTATTCCATTCCATTCCATTCCATTCCATTTCTATTCTTCATGTCCAGGGCAATTTTTGAAAGTAATGTATGATTCCCAACACTTATCTGCATAATTCAGTCTTGATGATTAGTCTCAAAAAAAGTATTAATAGGATTAGAAATTTCTCCCATTCAAGGGTTCCAGAAATTGATAATGCTAGAATAAACTTTCAGAAATGTCTGAAATGTCAAGAACTCTAGGCTATTCTTAATCCTGCCAATGTTTTAGGAAGATTACTGAGAACTTACTGGAATGGTTAGGACTACCTCTTAGGGATAGAAATCTTCAGAAGTACACTCTACTCCAGCTCACACAGCAATCTAAATCTGGTTCATTGCTGTATATACTGTACCCCTTGTGTCCTCCAGCATACATTCACCATTCTCAGAAGTCAGAACTCCCAGCCTTAATATTTGAAGATTAGGAATTAAGGAGATTGTTTCATGGTGCATGTTCCCCATTCCTGCCTCCACATCATTAGCAAACTCCACCTTGATGAAACTATTTTTGGCTGCCCATTTTTCTCTCTTCCTGGCTGCATCAGCACCATTTCAAACATGCCTGTATTTATTATTACCTTTACAGTACTGTAGGACAGTCTCCATGGCACATTTCCTATCTGAAGCCCACCGGATTCGGGCAGATCCTGCGATTTTGTTTTCGACTGGCCACCAACCTTGCCAGAGGTATACTTCGTGGTGATTGTCAACAAGGAAGAGAACTGCACAGATTAAATCAGTGTTATTTTTCAAATGGCACAGGTATTCTAAAGACTACACACAAAGATTTCAGATGACCTAATCCAAAATAGATATATATATCATCTGCACATTTATAAGTTCTCTAAGTATCTGGGGCAAGACAACCTTTACTTTGGAAATAATATCAAATGGGATTCTGCAGCAATATGAAAAGGAGTTGAGAGGATGAACAGCCTCTCCACATTGTCTTACATAAGATGGACATTTTTTTTGTTATTGCATAACTGCTATCCTCGCCTTTGCAGGAAATTAGCTGCCTTTCCTAAAGTGGAATAGTGATTTCTCCTTGGAAGTCTCAGAAGAAATTCTTTAGAGAACTGTCATTTTGCCTGTTACTGTAAGTTTTGGTTCTCTATGTTAGGAATATAAATATAAATATATAAACCATTCACAAATAATGTATGGTACAAAGGCAAGGAAAATAATACTTGGCATGCTATTACACACATATTTTTCATTGTTTTCACATCTAAACAAAAGCATCTTTCTAGAAACAAGGATTTTCAGATGTTTAACATATATAATTTCATATCATTATTAATCCTGTACCCCAGATATGGGAAACTATGGTCCTTTTATGACTTGTGGACTTCAACTTCCAGAATTCCTGAGACAGTATAAAGTCCACAGCGCATAAAACGGCTATAGTTCCCTATTCCTGTACTCTACCAGCCATCTTACCTGGCTGAGGGGCTGTGTAGAGGTCTTCCTGAAGGAAGGGCATGGAATTAACCACAGAAGGGTCTCTTGATGGATAAATATACTCAGTGGCTGAAAATTCTCCTGATGAACTTCCAAAGATAAATAGGCGAGGTGTAAAATTAAACTTTCCAGGATCTTTAAAAAGAAAACAAGATGTTTAAATTAGAAAAGTACATACAATATGGATGTTACATTTTTTTCTGCCCAAATCTTATAAAAATGAATAATGGCAATAGGTGAATAGGATTAATGTAGATGTAAGTTCTTGAAAACATAATCTGACTGCCTTACTTTCATTGTACTTCTTTGCAAAGAGTAGCTTTTTAAATAACTTAATATGGATATAATACATTGATATACTTTCTTTTATGAAACAGATCAGTTGATTCCCACATTAGTTTCCTTTTTTTTCAGAAAGTCTTATGAAAACTCCTATCTATTTTTATATATAAATTTCTATAACATACGGATTTTATAGGTTCTCCTCCCTAATGTACTTATTTTACTTCAATACATTCATTTTGATTTGCAGATTTTTAATTTTTTAAATTTCAACCTATGGAGATCTGTAAAAATCGAACAATACTTTCTTTCCAGTCAAGATATTGCTTGGGTTCAGTAAAAACACTTTATATAAAAATATGATCCAATACATTTTGATCACATTCCTAAGTTTTGACAGATACTGATTTTTAAAAAGGCTAATGAGACTTAAAAGATCTTGGCCATCTTAAAGACATCCCAAGAAAACAACCCTAACCCTACCTTGCAACATGCAGTCATAGGCTTTTCGGTCTCTTCTTCCTAAGGCATCCCAGAATCCCATTGGCTCTGTTCCTTCATCATATTCATGTATTGTCACTTTGCTACTACTGTGCAATCCTGCTTCCAACGGACATCTACAATGCAATTATCAGTCCGTTAGATTCAGAATTAGTAATGTAGCATAATTCATACCAAGAACCAATCATTTTGAGAGAAATCTAAGGAGGAACTCAGGAAAAACTCTTGCTAAGCTTCATCATTTCTCTTATCTCTTTTCATAAAAGGACATATGTTCCATTTTGCAAGTGATGCACATTTAACCACATAGGCTGTATTGGTTTTCCAATTTAAGGACAAAAATGCAGTCCTTCTGAGTCATTCCCAAGGTCCAGCAGTCAGGTCTCTAAAGTGTTCAATCAGATGCTGCTGCAAAGCCCTCTAACGAATTGTGAATACTGCTCTTCTTTTATAATGCTGGACTGACTTCTGAATATAGAACTTCGATAAAATCCTCACAACTATTAAATGTTAATAGAAAGACTTCAAAAGTTGGATATAATTTGTTTTTAATCAATTTGTTAGTGAACAGCAAAATTTGTGGCAGCCAATAAATGCTATAAAGTAATTATTCATCGTATGAAAAGAAAAACATTTTTATTCATTCAAAATCTAGATGAGTTCCAGTTTAAAGAAACAGATAGGGAAAAGCTTTACTTAATTCAACTTCTCCCCACCATTAGTAATAAGACAATTACAGAGTTAAAAAGTGTTAAAGCTTAAAGAACAATGGACTACAATTGGGAAGATTAAGGCTCAAATTCTCCATTAGCTGGTGAGAAGACTTCAGCCTGACCCATTTCATGGGATTGTTGAGAAGCTAAATGGAACATTAAATTCAGGTACAGTATAAACATCTTGAATTTCTTGGAGCAATGGCAATGAATAAAGATGATATAGAAGGGTTTATTGACTTTGCTATTTTTAATTTTAATTATATATGTATATGAAGTCATATCTGTATAGTGAAGTGGAAAAATATTTGAAGCCAGTTTAGAAATCTCTTACATAAGTAGCATAATTTTAAATACTACCCTAGTGCATAATTATTTTTCATCCCCTGCTAGAGTTGATAAGTATGAGTTCTACAAAAGTAACTATAGAGCAATGGTTTTTCTACTTACTGTTCTTTTATTTTGTTGGACGCTGTTCTTCCTACTTCCTTCGTATGTGGCTGGGCTTTGCATCCATGCCACAAATAAATAAGGGCTTTGTTGATATTGAGAACAATCATTGAAGTCCTAGATCTCAGGCTGCTGCAGTGGCAGGCTACTTCAAGCAAGTTCCCTTCAACAGGAACTTCTCCTCGAACGCAATACAGTCGCCAATCACCTGCAGCAGACATTAAAGACACAGATTTATTATTCACCTATCAAATTGGCTTATAAATTAATCTACAAATTTCTCTTGGACAAACTAAAATCAGTAGAAACTGTTTATGTAATGAATCTGCATTTTTCTTTCTTTGCACCTTGATTGTAGATGTGCCAATTCCACAATAATGATCTCCTATCTGAACAAACTATCAGGGTGTCATAAAAGTAGAGGTTAAAGTTCAGTAAGTTACGTTATACTGAATCAAGCATAGGGTTACTTATTTCAACACTGTTTATCCACTGACTGGCAGTGGCTTATTCACATGTTTATAAGGGAACTTTTCCTTATTTATTTATTGAATTTATATTACTGCTAAATGGCAGTATCAAAACAATAAATATTGCCATGAAATAGCCAAGAAAGCAGCAATATACAGTGGGGTAGAGGTGAAGTCTTCATTTAATCCACTAACTACCTCCAGCCTGAAATGCCTCATTGGACTACAAAGCCAAGAGTGTGGGGCAAGATCTCATCTTTCGTGGCACAGGAGCGCAGAGCCACAGTCTCCTTGACCCCACCAGTTGGAATTCCTTGACTGATGGGGCATGCAACATGCCAGTTTTGATCATATGGGAGAGTGGGCCAAACCGACTGAAATGAAATGGTTCCTCAATTAACCTGGATCCTTGCCATAAAGTGCTTTGAAAAATACCTTGAACTGAACCTGGAAGCAAATGGGCAACCAGTACCTGGGGATTAATTGGGCCACCATAGGGGCTCCCAAACTGTCCACACTGCTGCATTCTCTGCCAACTATAACTTCCAAGTACTGTTCCAGAGTAGCCCCATGTAGAATTAGTTGCAGTAGTGCAGACACGAGATGACCAAGGCCTGAGCTTTTCCTTGCTTTGAAGTTGGGATATTTTTGGCTGGAAAGAATCACTATACCATCAATCTAGATTATCATTTTTTCTTCTTCATTCTATCAATCCTTCATTGCTATGGTTGGTCAGTTATTAAAAAGGCAACATTTCACACATGCTCAAATGTATTGAATTTGCCGAATATTATTGCATTTTCAAAAGCTAACTCTCAATTTTACAGGTAGTCCTTGTTTAGTAACTGGTTCATATAACAACTGCTCACAGTTTAGATGGTGATGAAAAAGTAACTTTAGGATCAATCCTCCTATTTACCAACTTTGCAGGTCTGTAAAGGAAGGCTGAATTAAAATAATAAGCACGGTCACTATTTCACTTAGTGACTGCTTCACTTAATGACTGCATTGCTGGCTTCAATTGTGATTGCAAAATGAGGACCACCTGTAATGGCTACTGAAGTAGCATTTACACTAAATAAAATGGCAAAAAGATTACATTCAGGTTTATTTATCACACAAGATCACTTTTCTTTCCCTGCAAATTTTGGCAACTAGAAGCTATTTTTACTTTGTGTATTTTCTTCTTCCTCTTCCCTTCTTCCTGTATGAACAATCATTCCACCTTGAAAACATTGAAGAAAACATGGAGGCTCTTTTCCTTGAAGAACTTGCACCTGAAAAAAATTAAAAATCACAACACATTAAGATTTGTGCAAGACCACAGTAAAATTGTACTGAAAGCAACATGCGGACTTTTCTATATTACGGGCTTTGCACAGAATGTCTGAACTAAAAAAGGTTAACAAAAAACAGGCCTTATTTGTGGCAGCCCCATTAGAATACTAATACTAACCCCATTAAATCCTTTCATGTGCTACTTTGGTAGGCCACGTGTGTAATTATAATTATCCAATATAGTATTAATTGATGTACATTAATAATGAGCAAGCTAGTTTTCATGCATTCTTTATATCACTTTTAGAACTGCCCAAATTCTGAGCAGTTATAGCAGATTCCCTTGAAAAAGTTTCCTTCTAGTGAGAACCTGGACTGATACTACAGCAAGAAAAAAGTGCTGGCAAATCCTTTGCTTTTATAGTTATGTTTCCTGGCAACAGAGCTGTTCCCACAAAACTATTCCGCATAGGAAGTTGCATTTCATCATCCCAGACAATCTGTTTAATTAGGTATTGTTTATAATAAATTGGATTTCAGTGGTTCTCTACAGTTTCAGGTGAGAATTGTTCCTATCCTTACCGGGAGACTGGCAACTGAACCGGGGTTCTTTAGCACAGAAAAAAAGAGTTCTGTCATTGACCTATTGTCCAAACTGCAGAACAATACAAGTATGCAAGTCCATATGTTCAGTAAATTAAGTCTGCCAAACTTTTTTTCAAACCATAGGGTTATTCTTACTATTTATTATTATCTGCTCTGAAAATGTGATGTACGTTTCACACATTTCTGAAATTTAAATTGGTCCTAATGTTGGAGTCAGTTGAATTGGTCCTTATTCTCTTTGATGAAACTCAAGAACAATGGAGACCCAACCACTATGTATAAAGGATTCTGCCCAAGTTGGGAGTGGGCAAGCTTTTGATGGCTGGGTCTATCTCAAAATATTTTTGCTGAGGGCTTGGATCGAATGGGGCTACATACATACGGGCATGTCACCTAACTTGTCCATCATTTTTCTTAGTTTTTTTTTAAAAGGTTAACAATTTTTTTAAAGCTTCTACTACAATCTCAAAATGATGGGAAATCTGCTAATATTTTGCAGTTGGGGTTAGAAGGGTACTAAAAGACGATTTGGTGGCCATTTATGACTTAGAGATTGTCCATCCCTGGTATTTTTTCCAAAATAAGAAATAAATTCCTAGTGGAGTTAAAACAAGCCTCCCTTGTTTAGGAGCTTACACATTAGGAAGAAGTTAAAAGTATACTTATCCACCCACTAATTTTAATATTGATATTGATCCTTATCAATTTACTATGTGTTTTTTTTCAGGATTGTTTTATTACATTTCTGTAAGTTGTCCTGTGTTATTAAGGACAAGGAAGCCTATACACATTAGATTAGAGATCCCCACCCTTTTGGGCACCAGGACCGGTTCTGGGGAGAGGGGTTTTTCCGTGGACCAGAGGGTGTGTGGTTGTGTGTATGCCTGCATCCCATAGATCAGGCTTTGCTTGTTTGTGTGGACTGGTTGCTGGCCTACCGTGGCCCAATACTGGTTCATGGACTGGGGATTGGGGACTCCTGCGTTAGATGGATTGGCAATATGCTCTGTTTCAAAGAGTGAAGCTGGAGACACCAGACTCGAAAAACCTATTATTCTGCCAGTCCTCTGCTTTCTTCACCTGAGCTCCTCTTTCTTCATCAAGTTCCACGGTCATCAAGGCCGAAGTCCCCTTCTCACTGACAGTAGAATGTCTCCCTTGCCAAAAGAAATATACACATTTCTCTTTGCCAACGACCCTCGTCTGTAAATCTCCCTTTTGTCTGCTTCCAACTGCAAAATCAAAACAAACAGGTTGTAGCTTAGAACTCACACCCAAAGCAGCACTAGCAAACATTATATGAAAACAGTCCAATATGCTGTTAAAAAGTACTGGAAGATAAATATTCAGACAGACAAAAATCTTTTGGAGATTGATCAGCATCACTTGAAACAAATTCATTATGATTGTGGTGTTATGCATGCCAATCATGTCTTATTAAAAATGTGCAGGTTTTTATGTATAGATCTATGTTAATTTGTGCATACATTATCACAAACATACCTACACACACATATATGACATCACATAGAGAAATGTACACTCATAATTTGTTTTCTGCCTCAGAAGCAAAGCATTTTCTATAAATTAACATGGTAAACTCCATAATCAACTCCTGATGGCCTTATAGAGCTACATTTATCATGCGATATAGTGAATTCTTTACCTTATTCAAGCACTTCATTTATAGAAGCTTAAGACATAATAGAAGACGGAGATATTTCACTGACCTGAAGTGCTTACTAGGTATTTCCACTTGACAACATATGTGTCGCCTTCATGAAATTGCCCAATACTTTGTTTAGGAAGCCTACTATAATCAAATTCCAAGATGTGCCAGACGTCCACAGAGATAGTGATAATTTCAAATTGTCTCCCATCGTCTCCTTCAATGAAACCATATCCACGGCCAATATTTATCCCATCCAAGACAGTGCCAACGGTTGCCTGGGGGACGGGGACCATGAGCATGACATCATATGGTTTTGTGTCAGATCTGGTTTCTTCCTATAACAAGACGCAAAGCAGTTTATAGTCTTAGGCAGCAAGGCAGAAAGTCCATTGTTCACATTATGATATAAAACCCAAAGTCTTATTATAGTGCTAATGCACAGATAGCTTTTATCAACGATGCACTCATGCTGCTCTCCATTTCCAAAGAACTGAAAGTAATTCAATTACTCTCTGAGTTTACCTGAGATATTAGGACTTGGTTTCTAATGATAAACAGTCTCATGCATGAAGATGCCATTTATTTATATAAGATGTCACTACCATCACCACCAACAACAAAAAATTAAATCAATCAATTATATATTTATTGTATCTAGTGATTACTATGCTTAGATTAGAAAAAGTTTCCTAATTATATATTCACTGGGTCAATCACTAATTTAGGCTGTTTATAAATCTACTTAAAACAACTTCTTTTGCCTAGCTGATTTTTTTGAGCAAGATACCTTTCATGCCGAAATCTGCAATACATTTATCAAATGATTCCTAATGTAATGATTATAAACAAATAAGAAAGTCCTCCACCTTCTGAGGGAATTCAGTGGAATTCCTCTCAGCAAGTTTCTTCAATTCAGTCCAATCAAGAAATTTTTCTTTAAATAGTATTGTCTCATTGTGTTCTGTGAGTCTGCCAAAAATAGCCCAGTCTGGCCGCCCTTGTCCTTTTCTGCATGACAAAAAGAAAAGAAAAAAGATAGATAAATAGACTGTTCCAACATCATTTAACATGTCATGCTATAAAAGAAAAGCCAGTCCAGCAAAACTAACTAAATAAACCGACTTTCCAAAATATGTAGCTCTTAATTTGACAATAATGAATCTTGATTTTTGAAAATTGCAGATCACTATTTTAAAAATAATAATAGAGAAGCCAACAGAGACCTTGGAAGACTCCGCCCCCATAAATCTGAGACTATAGACTCCGACCTAGATATCTGAGGACAACTTCAATCTCAGAGAGAAAATTGAAGGGCTGAAGGTACAGTGGCACAGTACTGCATGAAAAATCTCCTTGTAAAAATATATGTCCAAAAGTCACTTTTAATCCTGCAGGTGGACTGAATTATATGTATATTAGCTATGCTGGGGTTAGGGTTGCATTATGAAGCTTCTTTGTATAAATCTCCCTATCTGCAGGTAATCTTATACTGGAAACTATTTCTTTGCTAGTTATGATTTTGTGAGAAGCTATTTTCAATCTATTCTTGAAATGACCTGCCTCTTGGAATCAACTTCCTCTCTCTCAATTTGGCTTGGTCTTTCTGTCTTTTCTTGTGTGTTCTGGACTGAAACTCTGATGATCTAGTTTGGCTGAGTTTTGCACCATATCCAAATTGCTTTTTCCACTCAACATGTACATGATGGCCTGGGAGTTACAATTAAGGACAATTGTACTAGTTTTAATTAGGCTGTGTTCCTGCCTATAATAGGTCAGTTTTAATATATATGTCCCACAGATACATGTGGGAGAAATATCTAGGATTTCCAATAATTTTAAAAATAGTATTGAAATTATTATTCTAACATATTTCTTTTCTTAACTAAGGATAGCAAATCATCAATGTCATTAGGTTTGATACCTTGGAATAAGAGGATTGCATTCACCAGGATCTAAGGGATTGATGTCACAATTGGCGTAGTCAAAAGTCCCATTCCATAAGTGTTTGGCTAACTGGAAGGCAACTTTCCTTTGTGCTAGTGTGACCTCTTTCCCATGCCAAACATATACTTCACTACCAAAGTCAAACACCAAGACCTAAAAAGAGAGAGAACAAGGAAATCAGAAATATTTTTTTAAAGGGCAGGGGGAAATATAGAAACAACATTAATTTTTTAGCCAGGCAGTAACAGTTGTTAGAAATCATTAAAATGCCCTATAAATAAAGATACAGAACAAAGACAAACTCTAGATTGATTGATAAAGTCTTCATCTGAGGATTTTATGAATTTTTGATGAATATTTTAATGCATGCTTATTTGTCCTACACTAGGTGCCACAAAACACTTGTCTGTACTGGAATGAATTAAAAATGCCCATACTGGCCACTTCCCTTCTCCACATTTTATTTAGCCAGACTGAGTAGGCATAAAGATAATAATTTTGTTTTTAGGCTAATTGAAAATTTAGCACAGCATCAAAGCATTAAAGCTCCATTGTATTTTGATGAAACAAACCAGTTTTGAATACTATTATTTGAAGGATATTTTTTTTCAACAAACTATATTTAAGATTACCTAAGGTAAGTTTGAATACCAGAAGCACGATGACTAGTGGTTGATTTAAAATTGAAGTAAGAGCTTTGAAACTCCTTAAATTCATATGGAAAGATACGAAAGAGGACAAATAAAACTGTCTGAAGCTTGTTTTCATAACACAAAGCTGTTGCTTAATGATACATCTGAGGGAGGCCAATCTATAGGAAGCACACTGTTCCTTGAGCTGGTTATCCATGGTATCTTTACCATATCTGCTTTGCAATTTTAAGATGACTTTGTTTTATGTTACAGACATTTATTTCATTTGCTTCTGCTGCAAAACAAAATAAATTCTACAATGGAAATGCAAATGAAGCAGAATCATATGATGCTTCATGGCTTAGCTGATATATGAATTTACTTCATCCCTCTCTACTTTAGTATTGGTAAATTATATGACTTTTGCATTTTTCTATTTCCTCTGGCTGTTGATGTAGTTGTGTATTGGGTAAGTTTTCCCCCCACAATTAATTCAACTGTGTAAATGTAATGCATAGCTTAGATACAATTGTTTAATAGTTTCCTACACAAATGCATGTTGACTGCCTTCTCTACAAGTCAGAACATTCACAGTCATATACTTTCAATTAAAAAAAACCACAAGATTAGTTTTTTTGTTTAAGAAGCATGAATTTTTATATTTAATTGTTGTATATTTAATTATATGAGTTTAATTATTACATTTTAATAGTGCTTATTGACGTAACTATCTTACTGGCTCTCTTTAGAAACCCAAATATTACAATCTGCTTCGTTTTCTTACTTATTCACTGGAAGCTTTTAGGTTTATACACATTATGTTTGCCAGAAAAAAAAAAGACAACCACCTCTGAGCCCAAAGAGGAAAAGAATATTTAGCATGTGAGAAAACAAGATACAGGTAGTCCTCAGCTAATGACCATAATTGAGCCCAACATTTCTGTTGCTAAGTTGTTAGTAACACGGTTATCAAATAAATCTGTCTTCCCTATTGACTTTGCTTGCCAGAAGGCTTCAAAAGAGGATTACATGACCCTGAGACACTGCAACGGTCATAAATATGAAGCAGTTGCCTAGCATCCGAGTTTTGATCATGTGACCATGGGGATGCTAAAGTGCTGTGTGAGAAAAGGTCATAAATCACTTTTTTCAGCGCCATTGTAACTTCGAATAATCACTAAACGAAAGGTTGCATTTCAAGGATTACCTGTATATTCATTTTCACCAGCTGCCCTTAAGCCTGAAAATGCCTCTTACTATACCTCTTTTGAGTTTAGCAATGTACACTTTGGCATCTTCCCCCAGTAGTCGTCATCAGGAATAAGTTTATCATCAACAAGCCGGTAAATGCAATTTGTTTCTATTATTGCAGCTTCATACATCTCATCTTCCTCTGGTCTTCCAACCTCTTGAAAGAGGCAGACAAAATAAACATGTTACCAATGCCGCCCAGGGATGGCAGATTAGAAAAAGCAATGTAAGAATATTCTTACAAGAGGAAAATGCACCGAGATGGCAAAAACAAACCTACTCTTACCCTGATAGCTTGTTTGCCCACCAAGGAGTTTCCAGAATTCTTTGGCTGCATGAGTATGAGTATTGATGCCTTCTTCTATGGTCTGTATATAAGGAGCTCTGCAGCCAAGTTCTCGCTTTGTCTGAATTAAAGCTGCAAGCTCTGAAGCCTAAGAAATTGAACATCATTAGCTGAATAGGATTGCTTAAGCTTTGGGGACAATCGAACTATTCAAAAAAGAATGAATGTGTACTTGTTGCTATTTTCATGGGACATACTAAACTGAAAGATGGAAACTGTGTCAAATACAGATATGTTCCCTTGTTTCCATTTTAATGAGAACACAGCCCATTTAACTGCAAGAATCAGAAAGCACTTCCTGTCATTCAAGACTTATTTTTCTTCTTGAATATAGATCTCTTTTCCCTAATGATTTTTAGCAGGGGGGAAAAAATCCAGAAGGGGGTGGTGGGCTGTAAGAATTTTCCCATCAAGATTCATACCATGTTTACAGACATTAAGAATCTTGTGCATGATTATTTTTGGAAAAGCCCACAATCCTAACAAAATAAAGATAACCAAGGGTTGGGCTGTCTCAGAACTTCAGAGCACTAACCTTGGCTTTTTCTATGATGTTTGCAAACTCTCCTACCCACAGGAAGCAAAACTGTGGCGTGAGTAGCAAGAAACAGTCACCGCTGTTAAGTGATGAAGCCCTTGGTTCAACTAATCTAGTTTGGACATGTCTTCTTCCTAAAAAAATATATATACATACAACAATAAATAAGGGACTAGAAAGAACTTTCAGAGCTAAAGAGTGAATCTTTGAAACCTGGGAATAAATTGCTCATATTTAGTAGAGAGAGTTTTTATATTTAAATGGAGAGCTCAAATAATTGCTCTAGACAAGTTTTTTTATCCCAAACTTTTCAAAATTAGTAAGTATAGAAAACTTTGTCTATCCTATTTCTGCATTGTAATTATGTCACAATTTCGAGCAGCCCTTGGGGTCATCTTAGGATATCAATCTTAAAACCTAAAGGTCATTTTAATGCATGAAAGTCTGCTGGGTGATTTTGGGCCAATCACTAGGAGACTGTGAGTTCTAGTCCCACTTTAGGCATGAAAACCAATTGGATGACTTTGGGCTAGTCATTCTCTCTCAGCCCAACTTACAGGGTCATTGTTTTCGGAAAAATAGGAGGAGGAAAGAGTATTAATTAGGTATGTTTGCTGCCTTGTGTTATTTATAAAAATATAAGGTAAAAGTAATAAACAATTACTTTTAAATTCCTTTTACTACTATTGCCAGATTTTAATGTGCTTTATAAAAATGTTATCTGTCAGAGAATATGATTACTAGATAACAAGTACATTTATTAATGTATTAAACATGGTGTTTTTCTTCCCCTCTCCCCATCTTCTCCATAGCTGAAAAAAATATTGAAACTCCTCCCTAATATTTAACATGTTACATTTTGGATTAATTAAAAAATGTACTTATTCCATCTACCTTTGATCTGTAAGAGCATCAGCTTCTTGTATGGGACTGCACTGTTGTTTGAATTCTGCTCCGTCAAATTGACACTACGTAGACTAATATTGCTGAAGTTCTCTTTACTCGCTAAACCAGCAAGTGCTACTTCTGAGAAATTTGAGTTTCCAGACACTTAAGACAGATGAAGTAGAAAAAAATGACAGAAAGAGGAAAAAAAGAAAACAAAAAATAAAAATAAAATAAAAGAGCAGACAGACACACACACATAAAACAAAGAAAGGACATTATGTTTCGTTTCCATATTTATTTAGCTTTTTTTTCATGCATGGCTCATATCCAGCCTTTAGTTTTGCTGATACTGCTGAAAGAGACAACAAAAAACAGGTTGAGCTCAAATTACTCCCTAGTCTGAAGACCCTCACATTTCCAGGAGGAACATTTCAAGATAAATATGAAAAATGGATAATTATATTATTAAATATTACCAAGAACAATAAAGTTCAAACATATGCAAGGCCAGTTCCAATTGTTATTTGGCTTTGCATATATCCAGGTGTCTTAGCAATTCTGTGGAAAGGGAGAAGACACAATTTTTTGTCTGGCCAAGGACATTGTTTCATAGAAAATGAGAAATTACATCCTCATTCTCTTTCCATCTCTTAAGTATTGTGGGGTAGCAGTGAAGGTATTGCACTAGGAGCCAGGAAATCCAGGTTCTGAGGGGTCCTTGGTACGCTCTGAATATGGTTGTTTTCTTGTAGACCTTAATAAGAAATAAACAATTGAAAACAATCTATATATTTCTGTGCTTCTATTTTGAGTTTGTGCACCAGGCATTGGCACCTATCTTATTAATGTTTTATTTAAGATAGTTTTCCATTAATATTCCAAATGGAATCTTTGATTCAATTTCTGCTTTCTAAAAAATGAAGATTTTATATTGGTAAACTGGATTAAATGAGCTATAATATCAGCATCAACACTGGAATAAAAAAAATAACAATGATAGAAAAACAAGTTCCATGACTTGCTATCAAGCAAATGAACCATGGTTTACCATTATGACTGAGAAGCATCATGACATGGGAAAATAGAGACAATAGTGCTGTTTTTGTCAAACGGTACCTGAATCTTGACCATATTATAGACAAATCATCTATAAAAGTACACAGAAAGCAGTTTGGGATCTTAAACTTACTTTTTTCAACTTTCATCCGCTTTGACTCCATGAACGCCACATTTAATCTCTGCTCCGTGTATTCATGAAGAATGTCCTCTCTTGCTGCTAGCATTTTTAAAGGATTCTTGGAAGCCTGGACTCTGCGTGTAGGCCTCACGGCCCGTTTGTGCTCTGTTACTGAAGAAATCAACCTGAAAAGCAAAAGTTCTTCCCGCTTAACCTACCATTTTTTCATCAGCTTTTATTGAAGGCACTGAATACAACTAACTGCTACATCTGAATGTCTTAACCAACATCCAGAAAAGCAAAGGCAACCATGAGGGCTTGTCAGACAAAACTAGGAGGAGGATAAACTGGGCCCAAATAATCACTTGTGCCTAAAGCAGTTGCTTTATTGTGCCTAAACAACAGAACACATTAGAGTTGCTATGACCCCATATAAATCATTCTGAGGGGGCTATAGAGTAACATTTTAATAAAGTGATTAAGGCCCCTCACAATAATGCTTTAAGGTTGGCCTTGTGAATAGTGGAAGGTGAGTGGTGACATAACTTCTGCAATGAAAAAGGAACATGTAAATGCTTATGGAAGGAGGGGTAGATGATTCAATCTCTTTCTTGCATCTGCTTTTCAATCCTGTGATTTGATATGACAACCTCAAAAGCAAGACAGAATAAATATGGAAGTGTTATACTTAGGCTGAAACTTCCCTAAAAACTAATTTAGTAAAATGTTACAACCACTATTTTGTCTCTATCTCATTTTCTTCAAACTATGGACTTTTTATTTTTCAACATTGTTAGCATTTCCTTTGTGAAAATTTGATTCTTCTGTCACCTCTTGGACTCAAATGACGACTAAGATGCAGGAAGACAAAAGAAGAAGAACTGGAAATATCCCAAACATAAATATGCAGAAGAGAAGTTAATAGAAGCGATAATCCAAACTTTCAGCATGCTATCTCAGAAATGACTGATTCTTGATCCTCACCCTTCCTCTATTTTTAAAGAAATGAAAGGGAAACTACTCACTTTGGCAAATCAAGATTAAATATGGCATCAAAGTCTTCATCCAACTCCACAGGCAAAGAGGGAGGTGGAAAATTCGTGCATCGGTAAAATTTGGAAAACGTTTCTTCGTCATCCAATTTCATTACTTCTTTCACAGATTTTCCTGTGACTGTCAAGACAGTCTCCTGCATTCCAGCAACTACAGAACACATTAAGATTATAAAATAATACTGTTTATTATACAGTCTTTGACTTTAAAATTTCTATTACAAAAACATTCATTTTAATGTTTGTCTGTCAACTTGGTACTGGTATAAAAGCATACCTTATTCCTCCCGATTGACAACAAAGAACACTGTTGGTTTTAATAAATAATTATAAAGGAGAAATTGACAAATATAGAAAGTTTACAAAAGGCTTTCAGCGGTTAGCTAGTTAGTTTTCATATGATATGAATTTTTTAAATTCACAGTCAATATGCCATTAAGAAAGAATGGACAATGCAACTTCCTTCATGTCCTGCTTATAGACCAGGGGTAGGCAACCTTGGCTCTTTTATGACTTGTGGACTTCAACTCCTAGAATTCCTGAGCCAGCTATGCTGAGGGGAAAGGGAGAGGTTTCCAAGCTGAGTCATGCTGGCTCAGGAATTCTGGGAGTTGAAGTTCACGAGTCATAAAAGAGCCAAGGTATCTTGTCAGCAATAGTGTAGAACTAGCTGTTGAGCTAGATAGCTTGATCTTATATTTTAATCTGAAATATATAGTAGGTACCTGAGCATGAATTTCCTATTGTCAATTATGCTAGACAAAGGTTTATAAGCAACCTAGAAGATTTTTTAAAAATTTAGTTGCAGTAATGAATAGAATTTTCTCTAGTGAATATAATGTCTTCCCGTTTTTTTAGATGACAACTGCTAACAGTCACAGCCTCAATGATTAGGGATTATGGGAATGGTTGCCTGGGACATTTGAAAACACCAGATTGGAAAGGGCTAGTAACAAAATGGTTAAAAATATATATTCTCTAATTCCAGCACTTAAGGTAGTAGTTAAACCGAAATCAATCATTTTAAATAAATGTGAGAAGCTTTCACTCTCTCTTATCTACTTTTGCTAATTAGTCATTATTTATAATTCCTAATATAGGTCCACAGACCACTATTGGAATAATGAGTAAAGTTCTTTACATAGGACAGTACCGTAAATTAAAATACAGGCTGCCTTCTCAAAATTGTACAGACCTTTGTTGTTGAGCCTTCCTAAGAAAGTTTCCAGTTTATCCAACTTCATGTCTGATTCTAACTGCATATCTGGTCTTGCTTCAATTTCTGAAGAAAATAAGAGTAAAAACAATCAACCTTTTAAAAAGAAGAATTCAAACTGTTCTTATATATTTTAATGACTTACCTTCCAGGGGTTTTGAAATAGATGTGGTTGATTTTAGTCTGTTGCAGAAAGGGTATGTCACTGGACTGATAGCAGTTGGTGATGCTAAGCCTGCAGAATAATAAAATACTTAATTTCATATCAGATAATGGATGTTTTCAATATTCTGCAGAATCTAGTTTTCAGACATGCCTGGAACTTTTCAGGCAATCATAAAAGCCAGACGTAAGTATATTCCTTGAAGGACATTAAGAAGTTTGATTTCTCCACAGATTATACATTCACCAAATGAGCCAAATAAACAAAATGTTCAAATTCCATGGGTGATAGGCAATATGGGTAGCTTTTTAGGGGTGTAAGAGAGGGGGTTTTAAAGATAGAAATAATCAAATTCCTTGCTTTGATAATTAAAAAGATGACAAAATCTTTGCTGGAGCAATTGTGGCAAATCTCCACAATATTTAGGGTAAAGTATAAGTTACGTTTTCAAGGCAGTCTTGCCAATAGTATCCAGTTGTTGTTGTTGTTGTTGTTAGTTGCGAAGTCATGTCCGACCGATCACGACCCCATGGACAACATTCCTCCAGGTCTTCCTGTCCTCTATCATCTTCTGGAGTCCATTTAAGCTTACGCCTACTGCTTCAGTGACTCCATCCAGCCACCTCATTCTCTGTCGTCCCCTTCTTCTATTGCCCTCAATCTTTCGCAGCATTAGGCCCTTCTCTAGTTAGTCCTTCCTTCTCATTAGGTGGCCAAAGTATTTGAGCTTCAGCTTCAGGATCTGGCCTTCCAAAGAGCAATCGGTGTTGATCTCTTCTAGGATCGAGCAGTTTGAGAACACCTTGCAGTCCAAGGGACTCACAAGAGTCTTCTCCAGCACCACAGTTCAAAGGCCTCAATTCTTTGGCGCTCAGCCTTTCTTATGGTCCAGCTTTCACATCCATATATTGCAACTGGGAAAACCATGGCCATGACTATACGCACTTTTGTTGGCAGGGTGATATCTCTGCTTTTTAGTATGCTATCTAGATTTGCCATAGCTTTCCTCCCCAGGAGCAAGTGTCTTTTAATTTCTTGGCTGCAGTCCCCATCTGCGGTGATCTTGGAGCCCAGGAAAATAAAATCTGTCACTACCTCCATTTCTTCCCCATCTATTTGCCAAGAATTGAGAGGGCTGGATGCCAGAAATCACTGAAATATGCTAACAAAAGAACATGTAGCTCATTGATTACTAGTTTTTGTTAGATCTTACAATTTGCCATTTCCATGGTCTAGGATTGCCAACATTTCCCTACATTATAATTTAGATGATCTAATGGTGATTGGCACATCTTAACTTCTTTTTTTTCCTCAGTGAGGAATCCCTGAAGAACTTTTAAGGACTTTTTAAAAATTTCATTCTAGAGTGCTTAAGATGTAAATTCAGGGCCATTTGTATCTGGAGGCTCAGTTCTATTCTACCATATGCAGATTGTTAACTCACTCTGTGTGCAAATATGGCTATTGGATAGAATAGAAAGTTAGACTATACAAGTAAAATTTTCATCATTATACCTCTGGGACAAATAGTGATTGGTGTAACAAGGTATACCAAGATTGAAACTTTTTTGGCTCTCTAAGGTGTTGTTAAACTATAATTCCAGGCAGACTTGTATACAAATGATTACTGGTAAGGAATATTAATGTTCTAACCAAGCAACATCTGGAGGAACAGAGGATGCTGTTAACTAGATAAGAAGCTGGCCATGTGCTTCTATTTCTTAATTGGGCTTTCATAGACAGCTGTGCTCTTAAACGTTAGCCACACAGAAATCATGGAAATTTCTTTATTCCTAATAGAAAAGCCCATCAGTTAAGCTGCCAGAAGAAAATATAAATGCATCCTAAAAATAGTATGATATTCAGTTTAAGTGGTTTCATGAGATGTGATCAGCTTGCTCACTCAGTTATGCTGTATTTTGTTTCTTATTTCAATGGCAACCAATTATGTCAATCAAGATATAAAAACACTGCAGACTTCAGAACAGAAATAGTTTGCTGTTTCTGATGGTGGTGGCATTCTGGCCAATTAAGTTTTAAATATAACTGAAATAATATGCAGATCAAAATGAAAAGTAATTTCTGGAAATGAAAGCAACATAAATCCTTGGCAAAATCTCTTTTGGTTGCTTCAGTTTTCTAACTTTTTAAAAATCCAGATACAATGGATAAATTCACTGTTTTATTGTTTTTAATTGTTTTATAGTTTTAGAATTGTAAGCTCCCCAGAGTCACTTGGATGACAAAGGCAGCTATAAAAATTGAATAAATAATAAAATTAAATAAATTTACTGACCTTTCTTTACCATTCTGCCAGCCACTGTAAACTGGGTCGAATCATTTGATGCTCCTTTGCCTTTAGCTTTCCAAGCTTCTTCTCGAACACTTATTAACTGCTTTCTTTCTTCAATTGTCATTTGATTTTCACAGCTATCCACATCCTTCTGTTTTTTCAAAGAATGTGGTTATCAATATTTTATATATCTTTTTATAGGATTACGTGATCATATTAAGGTTTCAAATGGCTATACTGAAATTTTGAACTTTGAAGATTTAAACTACTTGGTACTTATTTTCTGTTAAAATGCAAATTGAACAGAGCAAAAGTTCCTTTTTTGGCCTTCAAGATATAATGAATGCATCTATAAAATTGCTGCAAACCGCAAACCTTGATCTGCTTCATATATTATGATCTTATCCAAGGTATCAGTCACCGATATTTTCCTGTCACCTGGCATTTAATCTAACTGGAAATGCCAGATATTGAATTTGTAATGTTCTAAATAGTCTGTCCTATGTGATACTACAAAATTGTTTATTCTTTCCAAGTAAAATCAGACTCATTCCTATTTTATATAAGTGTAGTGTGTGATAATAAATAACCTGGTTATTTATTTAATTTAAATGCCAATAACCTTCATATGTTTAGTATTTAGTTGATTACTATGTATAATGTATCTTTATAAAGAAAAACAGCAGTTGAGAGCTGGGAGCATGCAAATTATGCCTTTTTCTCAGCAGTCAATTTATCAAGTGGTAATATTTCCATTTTAACCAACAATCCTTCAGCAGCATTCATTTACACTGTGACAATTTCTTTTAGCACCAATGTCACAAGAAATAAATTTCTTAAATATATAGACTGCTGATTTCCACCCCCTCCCCAATTTATGTGTATATGGCATAAGTTGCCATTTGATAAATGAATGAACCTATATTTCACCTATTGTACAACAATGTCAAGATTTAGGGAGAAGCATATAGATTAAATAGTAAGTGTTTAACTAAATTGATTCCTCCAGTTTATTTCAGTCATCAGTTTCTGTCATAACCAATTTACTTGCTACATATTTTATTAAAAATGAAGGCAGAATAAAATAAAAATAAAATAAAAAATATTTGTTATATTTAACTGTAACTCTTTTGCTAAAATATAGGATTTTTAATAGAATGAAATCAGCTGAAGACAGTTTTCTGTTTACTAGTATGGAATCTTATACCAGTTTCAGAATCTTTGAAAGTTAATTTTGCTTTCTGCTCTATTTCTTTCTTTAGACAACCTGGGAATTTTTTCTATTTGGAAACAAAGAAATGTTAAAAGAATTAATATTGTACATTTTTATATTAGTTATGTGCAATATTTACTAGTCCAAAAATTATTAATGCAACAAGAGATCAGCGAAATCCAGAAAAAGAAGGATTGCCACGGAAGTATATGCTTTTTATAAAAACAAGACAAAATATACACATAGGAGACAAATTCATATATTCTGTTATAAACAATGTAATCCCACCAAAAGGTATAGACCAGGGGTCGGCAAGCTGAAACACTGAAAGAGCCACTTGGACCCATTTTCTTCACAAAAGAAAAAACTGGGAGCTGCATAATGTGTGCGCACATGCACACAGAACAGGGGGCTTGATTAAAGAGTGGAGCCTAAGGCGAGACGTGCACCAGCTCTGCCCCTGTCCAGCTCCGTCCTGGCTTCTCCTCCCCTCGGAAAAGATTGCTCTCCCCCCACCCCATGCTCTCCCTCTCTGGGACTTTCTTCTTTCCGCCTTTTGGCATGAAGGTTCCCAGGGAGCAGAGGAGGGGGCCGACGGGGAGAAAGAGCAGAGCTGCTGTGGCAAATCTTCCGAGGCAGCAGTAGACGGCCGCTTAGGCTCGCCTATCTCAGCCTGCTGTGGGAGGCTGGAGTTGAGGCTTCTGGCTCGCTCTGGGAGGGGTGCTCGGAAAAGAGAGGATGAGAAGCGGAAAGTGGGAGAAAGGACGTCTTCCACCTCTCTGGGGTTCTTTCACTGGGAGGACAAGGAAGCAGCAGTTCTGCTCTGCAGGAGGTGGGAGCAGGCGGCCTCTCCTTCAAGCTTCGTCAAGTTACTCTAGGAGTGAAATGAGGTCTGAGTCCCCGGAATGTCAACTTTGCAAAAGAGGGAGGCGGTGGCAGGATTAAAATAAAACGTGGGGGGCAGAGGTTGAGGAAACCCAGCAGACGCCTCTATCAGAGGGCGAGCAAGAAAGGCAAGATCAGGGAGAGGAAGAAAGCTTTCGGGGCTTGCCCAACAGGTAGCTGCTCCCCGCTTTCAGAAATTGCCGTGGCAGGCAGGGACCACAAGGAGCAACCAGGATTGGAGGAGCAGAAGTCAACACTGCCAAAGAGGAGGAAGGAAAGGAAAAGTGGGAGTCTTTAAATAGTCATGCCCACTTTCCCCCCTTTTTTTCCAGACATCCACACGTGTATGGGTGTCAGGTTTGGAAGCCTCCGTTTAAGTCTGTGTGTGTGCACAAACATAGGCTGACTCCTCCTCATCTCTTCCCCTTGCTGCATCTCCTTTGGAGACGCATTTGCGTCTCTGTGTCTCTCTCTGCCACTCAAAGCCATCCTGCAGCTCAATCCTTGAAGCCGTTTCAATCGGCCATTGCCAAGCGTCCCCATGGAAGTCAATAGACAGCACGACTGAGATAGGCAGCGGCCCTAACTCTGGTCCGGGGAAATGAGAGCGGAACGGCGTTGCCTATCTCAGTTACGTGGAAGAACAGCCGTGTAAACAGCACCAGATAGCGCTGCCGCCGCTGAAGATCAACAGGCTCAGGGAGACGGGTGGCTGGCTCAGCTGCCCAGGGACGGCCCAGGGAGTGATGCCCCCACCGGCCGCCACCCCAGCTGGGACTGCTGCCCAGACTGGTTCGGGGAGACATGGGCCGGCTCGGCTGCCCAGGGAGCAATTCTGGCAACAGCCACTGCCCCAGCCTGGACTGCTGTCCAGGGGGCAGCAGGGGGAAGAAGGGGAGGAGGGGGAGGAAGCTGCCACCGCTGCCCCAGCCAGGACTCCGTGCTGCCTAGGCTCACCCTCTGCCCATCCAATGTAGCCATTGCCAGCCCCTCCGCCAGCCAAGCTGCTCCCCCTGGGCACCTTTCTTGCCCCGGCACCTGCCCGAGCTGCTCGGGGGCCAGCAGGAGGAAGAAGGGAAGGAGGAGGGTGAGGAAGCTGCTGCTGCCGCCCCAGCCAAGACTCCGCACTGCCTGGCCTCGCCCTCCACCCATCCGATGTAGCCGCGGCAAGGGCTGGTGCCGCGCGGGCCGCTGGCCCTAGCTGCAATGCTGCAGCTGCTCTGCCTAACTGGCTCTGCCAGCCCCTCTGCCAGCCTGGCTGGCCCCCCTGAGCCGCCTGAGCCATGGGGCAGCAGGAAGAAGAAGGGGAGGAGGAGGGCAAGGAAGCCGGCGCCGAGTCCCAAGAGGAGTGTCTCCTCTCCTACCATTGCTGCCTCTCCCTCTTTCTTCCTGGCAGCCAGGATTCTGGCGCACCTTCCCGGTCAGCGGGGCCAACGGTCGCGCTCACTGGGGATCGCAGGGGTTGTTTTCCCTTGGGCCGCGGCTTGCGGGAGGGCTGGTCCGCTCAGCACAGCCTCTGGTGGGCTGTTCCCAGCAGGGATCCCGGGGCTTCCCCGTGCGGCTCCATGGCCATGTGCGCCTCGGACGGGGCCAGTCTGGGAAAGGGACTTCCTGGCCGCGCTTCTCCCAGGGGGTGAGGCACCCGGGCGCAGGGCCAATCAGGAGCCCTGAGAGGGGGAAGTCCGCATGAGAGAGAGAGAGAGAGAAGGGAAGTGCAAGTGCCTCTCTGTCTCTCTCTGCAAATGGCGGAGGAGGCTCCGGAGCCGCAGGTGATGCTCAAAGAGCTGCATGCGGCTCCGGAGCCGTGGGTTGCCGACCCGTGGTGTAGACCATCAGTTGAAGTAAACATGTTTCTATAAGAACCTGACAAAATATTCTGTATTTGTAGCATCGTAAAGCATTCCCACATATCCTGGATTCATTTCAACAGTACAACACAAATAAGCCATATACTATTATGTAACTAATAGTTCAAATGAATCTAGCACAAATGAACAAATGAGCAAAATCATACAACCCAAAACTTTCTCCCAGAAGGATGCAGGACTTCTATTAACCAAAAGTCTCACTTGATCTTTAAGGGATATACAAGGGGCTATATTTCAGAAATTGAATGACATTAGGGCAAAGAATCAAATAGGACTACAGCAGCAAACTTAATTTATTAATTTATTTATTCAATTTGATGCTGCCCAATTCCAAACAACTCTCATATGTTTGGAACCATTGGGGCGCAGTGGTTAGAATACAGTATTGCAGGCTGACTCTGTCCATTGCCAATAATTTGATCCTCCCTGTTTAAGGTTGACTCACTTTTCATCTTTCTGAGATCAGTAAAATGAGGATCCAGGTTGTTGGGAGCAATATACTGATTCTGTAAATAGTTGAGAGTGCTGTAAAGCACTATGAAGTGGTATATAAGTCTAAGTGCTATTGCTATTTGGCATTAAAATTCAATTTAAATACTACCCATGCATTCTGTAGTAAGGCTCATTAACTTGCAATCACAGGTTCTGGATAGATACATTTATCTTATCATCTGAATAAGTTATCTCTATCTCATAATCATCAGCTTGTAAAAACAATTCAGAATTAAATAAAATAGAAGGCAAATGTTTCATAAAGTTAAGATTATCTTGAGCTCAGAATATTTTACTAAATACCTCAGAGATTATCTTATTAAGATCATATTAATTTCTGACCTTATAAACAATGCTGAAATTCTTCACAGTGGAAAACACAAAAAGAGATTTTTGGGCTGGTAGTTTACATCACCAAGGTTAAAGGAAGAATACAGAACAAAGTGAAATAAATGCCTTCCTGTATAAAATAAGGCTTATTTCCACAGTCATTTTTAATATACACACAGCCCGGAAGTGCCATTTGTATGCATCTGAGTCACTAGACTAAAAAGAATCTGATTTTGTACAAGTGAAATCCAGCCACACAAATAATGCAGCTGCATATGCTTAGAACTGTGCCCAATACAATCCTGTTTGGAATCATTGCTTTTCAAAACTGTTTCATTTCACTGCTTCCTAAGCTAAAGAAACAGGCAGAAGAGGCAATATTTCACCTTCCATCTCCAAGGGTGATGTACAAGCTCCAGGGAGGTTGGCTGTCTCAAACTAGCACTATTGACCTTAAGGAAAAAGAAACCCAAGTATCAGAAATAAATACAGTATAGGATCAGAATTGAAGCAGGAAGTCCAAGATCTCCAGTCTGAATTGTTAACATAGAGAAACTAGCATACTTAAGATAACTTAAATCTAGGACATCAAGCAACTGTTTGTGTTTGTGACCAAGCACCTTATATCACAATGATGCTCCTACACTGATAAATGCTATTTTCAAAGATAATGAAAAATAGAATTTTGAAACCTAGCTACTAACATGAAAACTTGGTTCAAATGTCTGGATTCTTATACTAAATGTTCCTAGATATATTCAGAAGGCTTGAATTTGTTTTAGAGAAAAAAAGGTAAGCAATATCCAGAATAATAATACAAAGATGATTGAAGATGTTTATTGTGGAGAATGTGATTAGGCAGACTTCTGAAGACAAAAAAAGGGAAATTAAAGTAATTCCACTGGTACTTTTGAAAGACAGTCTCTTGGACTCTTTTTTTCCTTCACTAAATTATTTTCATTCTTATACTGTAAGTTTATTAATGAGTTCCAAGAATGCTTGTTTTCTTTGTCCCTAACTTAATCAGCTTGTGGACATTGTTACTGATCCTATGCACATCCCTCTTGGAGCACTTTTGACATGTAAACAGTGTTAAGCAAACAAACCATAACTTCCACTATTGCTGCCTTCTTTAACTGAGAATTAAAGATATAAGAAATTTGTATATATAAAATATGCTTTATATAGGTTTATACCATATTGAAATTCAAAATTTATTTTGAATTCCTAATCTGAAAGTAAACTCAGATTTTTTTTAACTATTGATTTTACAGAATATGGAGCCAGTTTGATATAATGGTTAAAGCACCACGCTAGAAACTGGAAATTGTGAGTTCTAGTTCCTACCAAGCCACAAAATCAGCTTGGCCAATCACTCTCAGTCCTAGGAAGAAGGCAACAGTATAACCACTTCTCAAAATTTGGTCAAGAAAAGTGTTAAGGCTGATTCAAAGACATTCCCCCGTACAAAACCACTATATATTGGAAAACAATATAAATGATCTGTTGTGTTTGTATCAGTGATGTTCAGGAAGAGAGCTAGAACTGAAAGTACATTAAAAAAAGAGAGAATGAACAGAAGAAATAAGACTTACTCAACAACCTTTCCCAACAATTGATATATTGCTATACAATTCTTAGAACTTTCAGACAGAAAAACTGTGATATATGTGGAGGTAGTGAAAACTTTGTTGAATAAGTGCTCAATAAATCATTGCAAGACCTAGCCTAGAGTATGCAAGATTTGCTCACCTGATTAATAGGTATGAAGGAATGAAGTTTATGGGCAGCAAGTATAGCAGGAGAATAAGTAGAAGCATAGACAGGTTCCTATGAACAGGGGGCAGAAGCATAGGAAAGAATTAGAAAGACATGGAAATGATATGTTAGACCAGGGGTCTCCGACCTTGGTAACTTTAAGACTTGTGGACTTCAACTCCCAGAATTCTGGGAGTTGAAGTCCACAAGTCTTAAAGTTGCCAAGGTCGGAGACCCCTGTGTTAGATAGTTAGAGAAAAGGAGAAAAAGAAATGAGTTTACATCAAATAACTGATGAAAGTTCTTACAGTGTTTCAGGATTTGTCTATCTAGACAATATGCTGTAATAATCAAACAAGAAAATCCATGCAAGAATGTTACACTTATTATAGCCATTCTCATTCAGCCATAGAAAGGATTAGTGATAATAGAGAGGTTTGAAGAAGGCAAGCATGGAAAATGACTTTTAATCACAGCAGCAATACTTTTGCTAGTAATGTGTTTGGCTCTTGCTAAAAACAAAGAAGTGCCCATATTGTGATATACCATACCACATAGAGCTTGAATGTGAAGCTGACCATACCCAGAAAACAATAAGCCTGCGTGCCTAGCATAGCCGCTCTGCATTCATGTCAGGCTTACCCAAAGCAGCTTAGATATGGCTTTAGCATCTGAACTTCCTCCTTCTTCCTACAGGTTGAAACAAATAGGAAACATTGCAGAGGATGAAAGAAGGGAAAAGTTGGAAAGAACTTGTGTCCTGGATAGTATGGTTCCTTGTCTAATTAAGAGGTGCAAAAAAACCCAAACCCCTACAAATATCAATAGGCTGCCAATTGATAGCTACAGAGACAAAACAATTACTAACCACTTCTTTTTTAGAAATATATTCATACTTTATATATAAATAATTCTCAATCATAACTTTTTCTTCTGTTCAATTTTAGTTTTGGGTTAAGTTTTGAAAAATCAATCTTTTGCAAGAGGCCTTTGCTGGTAATAAAATGTAATTAAAATCCTTTGGTTTGGTTAATCTTTCTGTATAATGATCCCAAGCTCAGTGGTGCTCTAATGTAAATGTAAAAAAGAGTGGCCATTTCAATATTAGAAAAGTTAACCTAATAGAGACGTTTTGAGGGGGGGTCTTGTATGCTTGTGAAACTATGGAAAGAGGGGAAAACAATTTAAAATACAAAGAGAATGTGAAAAAAAGAACTTCTTCAGATACAATTTTATTCCTATCTGGATGTTTTAAAAATATTAAACCAATTACAATTTTATACATGTGAATTAACAATTAGTCCATCCTAATGCAGTAAAATGCCATAGTTGTGTCAACCACAATTACCAAAATAGTTGGTAATAGATATATATGGATTAATTGTGCCCATCTGCCACAATTGTGTCAAAAATTGTAGCAGTTGGGCACAATTAATCCATATACATCTATTACCAACTATTTTTGATACCATGGAGATTGGTGTCTGCAATAGTCAATATATTTATACCAAAATTGTGTATGTATTTATTTAAAATATTTTATTATTTCTGAATGACATTTCTCTAAATCTCAATGATTTCCATACTAATGTGTACCATACAAATTAATTTTAATTTAAAACATTTGCATTTAAAAGAGTTAGGGTTAGACTTTACACCTATCACCTTTTGAAATTCCCCATTTTGAAATAATATTTTATTGCGAGATAGCCCAGATGGAAGCATACCCATATGTACTAATTCTACTTTATTGTAATGTTATATTAACAGAATCTTGCAAGTCTGAAAGTACATCATCCCTCTCTTTACCCTTATAGCCCAAGAAACGAGGGCTGAGGTATTTGCCATGTCCCCATTTCTTCTATGAGCTCAGCTGCCTTGTATTTGATCATTCTGCTGGACTATGTTTAATTTCTAGATAATTTCCAGTCTTAACCTAAAGGTTACTGATTCAAGTTTATTCAAGCATTTGGTGGCACCACTTTATTGTTTAAAACCATTCCAGTTTTATTCCAAGACATTTCTATTTAGTGGTGCTTCAGCTTGCTATTGTATTTTTTTCTATCAAGGTACATGCAAAACATACAAAGAAAAAGTATTCACTGCTCCAACTCTACCTAATAACATTAACTAACAGCAACCCTGAGTTCAATGAGATAAAGAAGTTACCTCTAATAGAGAAATAGAGATATGGGGCTTTATTGATGTTGCTTGTTCCTCAGCAATTTTTATAGTTGACCAAGATATTCTCTGGGCCTGTTTCTTTGGGGGAATTGGAAGTGTTGTGCTGTATTAGTTTCCCACCAATTTTCAGGCATGGTCTCAGGAAATAGAATTAGGTGACTCTAACTCTGCACCCAGCAAGAAATAGCATAAGATGTCGCATGCCACTACTTATCTGTAGCATTATTTAGGTTAGATGTTGTCAGTAAGCTAACAGCGTTCATCTCTTCTTCTCCTTATGAATCAGAAGAAGTGGGATGTTCTGAACTAGAATCTATACTGATGTACTGATATAGTGGATAAGGTCAATAAATTGAGATTGAATTCCAATAGAACTTGCCTGTTCCAAATGGGTTACACTCTCAGAAAGAATAGATTCACAACTGATGTGTTCCTAAGGTTGTCTAGGACCAAATAAGTTCTAAGGTCTGGACTGCCTATTGTCAGCTTTGGTTTCCCAGACAGGAATAAATCTATTTATTCCCAAACAGGAATAAATCTGTTGTCAACTGAGATTTAAATTATGTAAAGTGAAGAAAACATTGATCAGTTTGCGTAATGGGATACCTGGCCACTCACAAGATACATATCTACTGAAGCAACTGCAGCGGCTGCAGTTTCAGAGAAAATTTAAAGTTTTGCTTTTTAGAGCCCAAGCAACTTCAAATTTGGAAATCTAAATTTACATCTATACAAGTAAATCAACTCATATAAGTTTTAAACAAATGTGTTTCTGTTTCAAATTTCCGGCTGATGCTTATGGGCACTTCTATGTAGCCCCAATTCCATTCCAGAGTTTCTGCACACTATTTTGAAGCCAGCCATGGGATTATATTGGCCCATATTGGTCCAGTAATCTAATGAAAATACTCTAATCTCTATGAGCAAACTGATGCCTCCTGCCAGAAGCCAGCCAATAAGACATAATTCAGCCTTGTCTTTTGAACTGCATAGATTCTTTCATAAGAACAAATCCACTCATCAAAATTCCACAACAAAAAACATTTTTTGAAAATAGCTAGTGTTCACCCCAGTTCAATCCCTTTTTAAAAAACACTTCTGCACTTATGTAATTGCAAAGAAGCTGATTGGTGAAGCTTTAAAATCTACTGTTGAATTCTTCTGTGCAGGAAAGATATGCAGAATGCTGTTTGCACAATGCCCACCTATGAAGAAATTATGTGCAGTTTTCTGCACATTTAAAGAAAGGGGATTTCTAGACCATTAGAATACATTTCATTCTAAGGGAAAGTCATGGGGCCAAAACAAGAAATTTGCAATGAAGATGGCTTGATGTGGCAGCAACAGAAAGGAAAGAAAGCACCTGTCCTGAAGCTGGGTTGTCATTGTTGTCACCATGGAATTGCTCTCAAAGCATGTCAGGTTTGGCCCATCACCAGGAAGCTGCTGACAAAGCTTTCTTCCACAAGTTGTGCATGGTGGCTTCCTTGCAAGACCAGGGGAAGATTTCACAAGGCCAGCAGCTGACTTTTGAAGTGCTAAGTCCCCCATTTGTCAGCAGTTGGACCAAGAAGATAGCAGAGGTCAGTTGGGGTAGGTGATGAAAGCAATAGGGGCTGAGCTGGAGCAGCTGGGCTTCCTGCAGTGGCTGTGACTTTGTGCTGCACTGCATATCAGAGCTTCTTGTAGACCAGAGCCATTGGACATCAAGATTCATGACTGCATTACTTAGCAAAAGAAATTTCAGTCCCAATTGCTATCATAACTGGAGAACTACCTACAGTCAACCTCCTCAGCCAGCTACTTAGTCCAGACATGTCAAACTCGCGATGTCACGTGACGTTTTGCGACGTTTCGGAGCTTTTTCCCCCATTTTTGGCAATGGGGTGGGCGCAGTTTCCTTATGATCATCCAGCCCGTGGGCCAGCAGTTTGACACCCCTGACTTAGTCCCTCCACCATTTTGTTTCCACTTGCTGCTTTCAACTGATCCCAAGATATTGTTTTCATTTCCCTATATGCCTGAGCTGCAACAAAGGTTGACTACTAATGACTTGCTTACACCCAAGAGTTGGGGAAGCTGATGAGGCGAGAGCTATGCCAAAAGAGCAACGGTCCACTTGCAAGCTTCAGCATTGCTCCCATCCCAAAAGGATCAGTTTTGCCTTGATTGGTACAGTGGCAGAAAAATAGCTTACTTAACCCTTACACATGCCAGGGAACAAGCAGCCCAAGAGCATCTTCTGAATGGCACAACATTTTTGCATTGAGCTACTTTAACCATCCATCCTGCTGTTAAAAAGAGAAAGATATAAGCATAGCTTCCTAAGAAATCATGTTAAATATCCTATTTGGGTTAATCAGGAAAGATACTTGCAGGTCCTGATTTTTGGCTACCATCACATGACTGTCCCCTCACAATGAACAACAACAACATTACAGCTCATATGCTGACATGTGTCACAGTGTCTCCTATGTCTTCAAAATTCCCTGTTCGGATACACAGCACTATTCTATACAGTAATAGAGCCAGGCAGGGTATACTGTATTACTGACTAACTGCTATTTACCACTGATATCCAAAACATTCTATCCATAAACTACTCACAGTGCAGAATTTCAGAGGGTTGGTGCCAAAATACAAGTTTTGAATTACAGAATAAAGCAGGACTGGTCTGTAGGATGCAGAAATATGGGGTGGGAGGAAGGAAAAAAAGCCAACGGACAGAGTCGGTGGGTTATCCCAAACTAGGACGTTAGTTGCAGAAGCAGCTGAGAAGTGAATGCAAGAATACAACAAGGTAGGTAGGTTGGTGGCTATGCCATGATAGGATGTTGGCAGCGGAGGAGTGGACAGGAACACACTGGCAAGATTGGAAGTGGGCAGACCAGTGAGACATACCATGCTGGGAATTGGTGAGAACCTACATGAAACCAAATCCAGGATGTGATACAGAAATATATTCTCAGAGTGTTTTGAACCCTGGAGAGAGCTAAAATCCTAATATATGGACAGTTTTAGATTATATCTTACCTTCTTATAAAACCAGAGAAATAATGTATTGCTTCAGCAATACTTCAAGAAATATAAAAATACTAAACTTTAAAAGTATAGGATTTATAGTACTTTAAAAGTACATGATTTATTGTAGCATATGTTTATATAGATGGTTTCTGACAGACTATCACATAAAATATTGTATAAAGATTACTGTTTTTGGCAAACCAATGAGATTACACAATGGAAACCATAAAACACTTAAATTTATGGTATAGCCAATCTAAATACTATGAGTGATTAATAATTCTATAGTATATGGAACTTTTTGTCTTTTCAGAACTTCTTTCCCACTATGGAAACTTCTGAAGTAATTTTAAAGAGGAATGCTATTTCCAAATATAGGGAACTGTACCTTTTTCGTAAATAGTTGCTCCTTCTCCTGTAGCTGAGGGCCACGTTCAGTGCCCGATGCTCGTCCATACTCCGTTTTTTTATTCAATCTGTTTCTCCAGTCTTCCTCACCACTCTTCTTTAGGAGTGCCAGCCTAAGGAAAAGAAAAATATATGGACTTGGTTAGATCTATTAATGTAAATTGTGTGAAGTAACCTAATATATTCCACTGAGAATTCTATTCAATAATGGAGACAAAGCAGATTCTGACTTTTTGACATAAGCATACTTTATATTTTAGTCTATACTGTACTGAAAAAAGATTTAGTGACTAATCCATGATACAATCATTAAATAAAAGTAATCTGACATAGATACAATGAATCCTGGATCATTTAAATGTCACATACAAATAAAAATCCAATAATAAATGATCTTAAATTCTTCTTTAGAAAAATATATGAAGAGTTGCGTTTATTCTTTTAAGTACTAAAATGGCATTCTTTTTCATCTTAGAATTATTTTGGGCAGGAGCTAATGAAGCCCAGACTGACAATTAAACTGAGAAAGAAAGGACGAGAATGCTGCTATTGGGGTGGGTATTAACAAGAGCACAGCATGGAGATTTCCTGTTCCCTGCTCAGACATCACACGGAGTTCAAAAAGCACAATGACAACTTGAAGCAAATTCAGACAAGCGCTACCAAGCAATGAGGTCTGAAAATAAACCTTTTGAGGAATAGTTACTCTCTTGTTACTAAGTCCTAGTTTTAGTAACTTACTCCCTTTCAGTAAAAAGAATAATGTGCAACATGAACCTTGGTGCAGCTGTGGCTGGTGGTGAAGTGGGAGCATCAGACCCCAAACCTAGAATGCTTGTTTACTCCCCATTCTTCGTTTAGAACTGGCATCTCAATCTTGATCACATCCCATACCCAATTCCAAATTGTTTGTATAGTTGTGGGCATATGGCACTGTGTCTCATACAACCAAAGGTGTTTTTAAAGAAATGCAATGCTTGTTAGAATTTTCAAAATAAGACTGAGAAATGGACCACTGAATTTCATCAGCAGAGGACACTGTCCAGTCCCCACTTGAGTTTTTTCTCTGCTTTTCTCAAATGAAAGCCTACTTTTTTTTTTTTAAAAAAAAGCTCCTTACTCCTTTTTCCTCAACAAACTAAGCCTAAGGACAGATGAATAAATTCAATCATATTTTTCTGTTATAAATGGAGTATTATCCTTCTTCTGTTTCATGTTGCCTATCTGTACTTCCCGTTTTCCCTTACAGAAAAGAAAACCTTAAGTGATGGACGTTATACAAAAAGGAATGTTAAAAGACAAATAAACGTTATAAAATATTATCTGCTGTTACAAAAATTACAGTATGATTATAAGCAAACTGAGCTTGGGTCCTTAAGAAAATGACATATTCAGATTACAGATGAGGCAAGAGTAATGAGCAACTTATCAATAAACAAGAGGATAAAAAAATATAATCTAGAATGTAGACAAAAATATACACAGCTGTACCATCTATTCCAGCAGCCAATTAGCAAATCATTTGAACTTAATCTGATAGCTCTATCACATGACAAGTAAATCTACATGTGCACTTGTGTTTTGGTACAAATATGGGCGCATATTTGGTTGGAATACAAATTATATTTTTCATTCCTATACTAAGTGTTAAGTTGTGTGGAACTGAACATTCTATCATGTTCAAAAATATAAGCCAGGAGAAATAATGCCCACTTCTTGTCCAAGAGATGTTGGTTTTCTTCTCGTTGAGGGATAAAATGTGCTTAATCAACAGCTCAGGAGAAGCCAGGCTGCAACAGACTGACATGAAAATTAATATTCTCTGTCAGCTTGCCAGGCCATTGTTTTCACAATCCCTCCTCCAGAAATAATGAGCACCACTTTCCTCCATGGAAAATTTTATTGAATACATGAAAATACTGGTCTTTTAGGGACATTTTTGAGATGACCACACAATATTTCCTCACTACGAAATGTATGAATGTGACAAACTTTGCATTGAGTTCAACACTTCTACTGCTAAGTGAAACAGTTTTTAAGTGAGTTTTTACGACCTTTCTTGTCACAGTTGTTAAATGAATCATTGCAGTTTATATGTTAGTAACATATATGTTAGTAACATATAAGTGAATCTGGCTCCCCCATTGACTCTGCTTGTCAGGAGGTCGCAAAAAGTGATCACATGACCCCGAGACACTGCAACCATCACAAATATTAACCAGTTACTAACCATCTGAATTTTAATCACATGACCATGGGGATGTTGCAATGGTTGTAAGTGTGAACAATCGTGATGTCACTTTTTCCTCGAATGGTCATTAAACAAATGATTGTAAGTTGATAACTACCTGTAGTCCCCGTTCTTCATGCAGCCTGCAAATGTTACTTCCTTGCTTAAAAGTAAAAAGAAAATATATGCCATGAATTATGCCAGGCCAAATTTCTTACTGTATGAAAATCAAGAACTTGACATATTTCTGAATGTTACTAAAGTGATCAAACTACAGTTTTTACATTGTAATCCTGCCATGGAAAAAAAGATGTTGTGGCCAATAGCTATATTAGGAATTGTATATAATGTAGGCTTAAAAGGAAACTATGCCAAGATAACTTAAATTTTGCACAGATGTTGAATAGTGTATTGTAATATGTGCATTTGTTCAACTGCTATATTTCATTCTGTTTCACCATATGGATAGCGCAAAGCGTAACATTTTTTTCAGTTTGATACTGACAACATACTTTCATGCCACAAAAAAAGCTTTTTATTTAAAAAAGAAGAGTGGGAGACTCACAAAATGCTAAACGCTGCATCCACAGCTATATTTTGGCAACAGGAGAAGTATAATCAGCAACTGCTTGGTTTGCTCTTTTTAAAGTTAATCATCTATTCAGCTGTTTGATTAAAAACACATTTCAGACTTTTCTCATGTTTGTAAGGATGCCTTACTTAAAAAATTAACTACCCGGCAGAATTGAGTATAATGTTGTTCTATTTTTAGCAGTCAAAAAGGTGGTTTAAAATATGCAGTGGTACCTTGGTACTCAACTGCTTTAAAACTCATAAAATTTGGTACTTGACGCATTTCGATGTGAAAATTTTGTCCTAGTGCTTGTCATTTTTTGGGTTCTCAATGTGCAAGCTAGAACTTGTAGGTGTCAGCTGCCTCGTGGCTTGCTACCTTTTCAAAGGATCACGGGTTAAAGTCACATGGTTTGCTTGGTACTCGTCATTTTTAATACTTGTCACGCCTCCTGGAACCAATTAACGGCGAGTACCAAGGTACCACTATATATAGATGAAGATTGTCCACAAGGAATGTTCTTCTGTATCATTACTGAACTAGACTCCGCCTACAAATAAGAGGACAATCATACACTCAGAAGAGTCTATTTACCTTTCTTTAATGGACATAGTTTTGCTGGATGCATCAAGGGTGTCCTCTGTTATTTCAGCTTTACTGTCACTAAAGCCTTCTTTTCCTAACAGCTCAAAGGTTTCCTGTTGCCTACAGGATAGCATTGCTGCTGATTGAGAAGCACTTTCTGTTGCAGCTGCTCTAAACTCTGAAGATGGTTCACCAATCTCTGAAGGGGAGAAATTCATCATTAGTGCTTCATTGCAAGAACCTCCTGCATGTTTTGCATCAATTAAATTGAAAAATGACTTCTACTTTTTACTCATAACTAAAAACTAATGCTTGTCCTCACAGTTAGTAGATCACTGCAGCTTTTAAAATATGTTCCAAGATTCCAAGATTGACTCCTGGTGATTACATAGAGCTCTATATGTCTGGATGGAGGTTTTTCAACTTTCCAGACAGATTTTCAATCTTGGTGTGTCTTGGAAAAGATGCAGCTGCTTTGAATGTGTCATACAGGTATGATTTTCACATTTCCACATGCTCCAAGTCACAAATGCTAGCCTAAAAACTAGGTACTATGAGTTCTAGTCCCTTCAGAGGCATGAAACCTGCCTGGGTAACTCTGGGCCATCCTCTCTGCCCAACTTACCTTAAGGGTTGTTGTGGCGGAAGTAGAAAGAGGAACGAGTATTAGGTATGTTCGCCACTTTGAGACTTATAAAAATAATAAAGTTGGGGTAATCTAAAACAATAAAAATCATAATCTAAAAATAATCTCTAAAAAACAATAACTTTTTTTCAAATGCCTGAAGTGCTAAGCAATGGTAATATAACACTTCTACTTTTATTAAATAAATGTAATTTTAAATGTCCAGTTCACTATGGGTTAATGATTCTGATAACCTTTTATGTTATTCAAGCACTAATTTTCGTTGTTTTTGTTAATATTTGTAGCAACCTTCCAATCTGTCTGGATTAGTTATAACAAATATTTCTCAGCAGGTGGCAGCACTTAATTGATTTGGGGTGATTTTAACCCTGGTTAGATTTTGGATGATAGATTACTGAACAATCCAAAGAACATGGATTATTTGTGTTCCTGGCTTAATACTTTTGCTTATTATAGTGCAGAAGATAAACTTAATTAGAATTCGGATCTGTAAGACTGCCAATTCAAAGTCACTAAATCATATTACCTCTGGTTTAAATATATAAAATATGTCTCTATATTAAAATAATTTATGAAAAGTTGGATTCTCCATAAGATGATTGCAAAATATCTAGTAGGTTTTCCCTGATGAACAAAATTCCCCCCTATATCACATAAAAAAGGAACTGTAAAAAAATTTCTTTGTTCCTTGTAAAATTAAAAGCACCATGGCTGAAAGCTGACTTTTCAACTTTTCTCAACTCTTCAGAAAGAAATACTCTCTAATTTGTTTTAAATATTTGTTCCATAACGCTCTAAGTGATAAGGTTGGGATTGTTTTATTGCCAGGGAATGAAATAATTGCAGCGTGAAAGGTTTTTATATCTTAAACAAACAGTGTAATGATAGTTTTAAAAAAGGTAAATATTTAGAACTAAATATCAACCAATTCTTATAGAAAGAAATATGTTTTAATATCTTGTACAAATATATAAATACTTGGTTCGTATATTATGCCAAGTCATGATTTACTTAACCTTGCTTTTATTAAATCTTAAGGGCTTGATCTGCACAATGGATTAAATAAGAAACCATGGTTTACAAATAATGTACTCACTGAATAAAGCCACTATTTTATATAGAAGGGATTTTCGATTGGTTTTTGAAATCAGAAAACAATAAATGTATTTCAGCAAACTTGTATTAGAAAAAAGAAGATGAATAAAGAACAATAGACATCTTTAAGGTAATTTATCTTTACCTTACACCCTCTGATAAAATGGGTGGCCAATAAATTTGATAGATAGATAGATAGATAGATAGATAGATAGATAGATAGATAGATAGATAGATAGATAGATAGATAGATAGATAGATAGATAGATAGATAAAAACATAACTTGATTTTGTCCCTTTTTCTGGGGAGAACAACACAGGCTATATTGTGATATTTTTTCCTGGAAAAACTATGGAAAATTGATATGAAAATATCACCACTGACTTTATTAAAGAGGGAAAAAATCTAACTGCTACATTTGATAATAAAATAGATTTCCTAAGAATAAGTAATAATAGGTTATACTCACATACTGAATCTAGGACAGCAATATTTAATTGATTAATCAGGCAACTAACTCAAAAATGAGTTCCAGTTAATCAGGCAGCTTTTAAAAATGCAGATTTTAAGTGTAAGAACTTATAAAGTGAAGGAAGGTTATTTTTAGATTGTAGCTTACAAGGCATGTTGCTTTAATCCCTTTTCCATAATTTCATTTTCATGCACACATATATAAATACACACACACCTTCACCGGGAGCTTGATGCTGATTAAAATTCGTATAATGAGGAGATTAAGATTTATTTAGACAAAGAACTGGAAGGGAGCCATTTACCTTTTGGCAGTGTTGAGTCCATGGCAATCCCTTCATACTCCATCATCTCCTCAAAGGACTGCCCTTTGACTCCTTGTTTCTCTGGCAGGATGTCAGTGACCTTTTCTTCAGTACGCTCACAAAGAGAGTGTGGGCTAAGCAATTCCATGCTGTTTTTTCTTGGAAATGCATATTTTATCTCTTTGTTGTAGTCCACTGTTTTATCAGGAACAGGATGTGGGGGCTCTTCCTCAAAGGAGCTATGCTTTCTTACACCATTCATTTCCCATTTTGCAAATTCTTTGGGCTCTGCTTCTTCATGGTCTCTCAACTGCTGATTGTTCTCTCTTATTTCTAATGAAGGCTGCCACAATTCTGTTTTCAGGGTGTTTTTTAATGACAAATCCATGCTTTCCATTGAAGAGTGGCATTTGAAATCAGATTTACCGACCATCGGATCTTCTGCTGCCTTCAGATGGAGATCTTTACTAAATAATGGTGATAAGGCAGATACCATGTTTGATACAGATGTTATGGTAGTTGGAGACAGAGGAGTGATCTTCTCACTGTCACTTTGTACCTATGGAACGAGACAGAGACTTAAAACTGGTTGTCTACAAGAAAAACTGTGTAATAACCAGCAATTATGCTAGCTATTCATTATTGTAACCTTTCAGATGCTGAGTTGGCAACACGACAGTACAGAAACATAAGAGACTAGTGAAAATGAGAAAGAAGAGAACAATTGTGTTTTCTGCTCCTCTTCTACCATAATTTTTAAAATGCTGCTTCTGGAAACAATTGAAATTCAAAATTCTCAATGGTTCTCTTTTCATCAACTGAGAAGTATCTATTTACAAACTACTTTTCTTTAATATCTTAACAAACCTACAATCATATACAGTAGGCTAGCTGATGAATGTCATCAAAACAGAAGTAGAAAACCTAGGTCCTTCCCTGACGTTGGATTAGAATGTCTATTGCCCCAATCTCTGATTATGACTAACTGTCTAGCATTCAACTTGAAGGCCACAAATTCTCCAGCTGAGGATTAGAAAGGCAAACTGGGCCTCAGATTCAAATCCTCATTCAGCAGAAAACTTGCTGGGTGACCTTCAGCTGAAGTTTCCAACTAAGTTCATATATCACAAGTCATTATTTGCTTAACTCTTTTCAGCTGAATTAATAAAGAACTGAATAGCATGGTAATATACAAACAAATCACATTTTGGTTTAGTGCAATGTATGAACTCATTCTCTTCATACAATCTAGCTTATAAAAGTTGCAGGGAACAGGTATGGGGAAAAAGAATTGGAAAGCTGGAAAAATTGTAAGATAAAAATATAATAGTTTAATTTTTTAAAAAAATCTTTATACTGTATTTGTAAGTATTTATGTATATGATCAGGAAGCAGTAGCCTTTATATTTTAATTCTACAATTCAGCTACAGGTATGGTTTACTATTAGTGCTATCACTTTTAGATAAAATGTATAGAATGTATAGGTTTTTTAAAATATTGTTTGTTGCAGAACATGATTATATCCATATTAGCCCAACACACCTATGCAATCATAGGTCAATTGTACTCAGAAAAAAAGCTAGTTTAGCAATATTGGTCACATTCAGACATGCCATTCTAAGAGTATGGAATAAATATAAAACAAATTTTTCTACAGAGATCCCTCTTTGGGTATCTTCTTCCTGCCTCCCCCCTCCCCTCCTGGATCCCTTTTTCAGAAAAGAAATGGTGGCAAAGCTGGACTGGTGGACTTATGGTAAAATATGTTAACATCCTTTAATTTTGGTGATCCTACCCTCAAATTTAAGGAAGAGTTATAATCAAAAGCACATGTCTGCCATTGCTTTACATATTTACGATTGAAAGAAATATTTAAATTAGATAAAAAGAGTTATGGGTTTGATTTAGTTAAAAATGAATTGGAAATCTTACTGTGTGGTACTGATGAACATATTATTGCTAAGTGTATAAAATGTTACTGAATTTAAATTTGGAAAGTGAACATGTGAACTATTGTATGAGTCAGTGGGCAAGGAATTTTGAATATAATGTTACGCTTGAACAATGGGAGAATATATGGATGAAAGGTTTAAAATTTACATTAAACTAAAATTTAAAAGAACATTTTTATAGGACGATGTATCACTGGTATTTAACACCAGATAAATTATCCAGAATGTATAAAGGTATTTCAAATGTTGGTAACATAAATATAAAGAAGGGATCTTTTATCATTTATAGTGAACATGTGTTAAACCAAAGAAATGTTGGAGTAGGATTCAGATTTTAATACAGAAAATTCTTAAAGTAAATATAAAGATAAAACCAGAAACTTTTTTTTTTTAGTTTAATGGAAAAAGACTTGGAAAAAAAGTCTGGAACTTTGATGTTATATACTGTATGTTGACGACAGCAAGACTATTTTATGGAAAAAAATGGAAGGACATTTTGATCCCCACAACGGATGAATGGCTGCAAAAGCTGACAGAGTTAGAAGAGATAAATAATTTGACTGCTTTGATCAAAGAAAATAATACATGTACTTATGTTTCTACTTGGAAACCACTTCTGGGCTTTGTGCTTAAGGTGGAAAAAATGAAACTTTGATTTTGGGTTTTACTGATTAGATAGATTCGTTGTTACAGAAATGAATAATTTATACTATTATGTAAAAGTAAAAAATTGAAGTTTGATGTTACTGTTTTATTCTACTGCACTAGAGGGAGTCAGAAATCAACATCTTTTTTTCTTTTTCCCCTTCTTTTCTACACTTCTCCTTTCCCTCTTCCCTTCCTTTTTTTCCTACTATTTCTGTATTTTATATTACAAACTAATAAAACTGTAAACATAGCAATATTGGTCACATATAGATAAAAATAAGATAGGCACAATTCTTGAATATGTTCTAATAAAAATTGTGTTCAATTATTGGTTATAAAAACAGCAGCAGCAAACAACTTGCCTATAAACTAAATCATCTAAGCCCTGAAGATATCATAGTCCATGTTTATCCTATTTATAGGCAAGTTGGTTCCATGCAACAGCTGGGCCTCTGAAGTTAAATTTCCAATATGGAAAGAATTCATGGTGTACTTGTACCTAAACGAAGAGGGATTTATTTTTTACCTAGTAAACATGTTTAGAATTAAAGAGCAAGCATATAGCTTTGGGAGTTTAGGACTAGAATTGTGACTATGAGAACTTTAGATCTGCTTAGGACAATACATCAGCTGCATGTTTTCCTTTGTAAGACAGGAAACTGATACTGCCAGTTTCATGTACTTCAAGAACTTACAGAATTTATGTGGGGCAGCCTTTCTATTTAGAAACGTAGAACCCAGCCATTAGATACCGATATAACCATCTTATTAAAAACCATGTAGCATTGATATTGTACTGTCTTCATTGGGTTGCAAAATTAAAAATAATTTTGTACTGACAGCTACCTTGTATTAGAAAAATGTTTTGGGGCTTTAAAGTCTGCCTCTTGATAAGAGGTTATCTCTACATGCTGAGGCACTAATCACAGAGCTTGATTAACAGCAGTGAAGCTGCTGTCAGATGACACGCTGGACCACATTTTTATGCAAGCAAGTTTGGTGAATGAGGCATTAAATTCCAATGTGGACAATTTCTACTGAATAAATATGACATGGCTGAGTTGGGAGCAGAAGAAAACATTTGCATTTGTACCTGCTCAACTTCTCCAAGAGTGACAGGCTGAGTTTGATAACGAGCTTTCGATCTCCTCTGTCTAAGATCCCCTCTCTTCTTTACAAAGACTGCCTTTGTTATCGGTTGAGACAATTTATTAAATAAGGCCATCTTTTCAGCCAAACTCAGGGTTGAAGAATCTGGTTCTCCAGACTGATCTTGCTCAGCAGTATCTTTGGCTTCCTTTATTTCTTCTCTGGCTGATGTTTTTTGGTGGGCAGATGCTTGCAACCTTAAAGGAAACCTCAGAATCAGCAGCTTTAATAGCAAATAAGACTTTTTTAAAAAAAATCAGGAAGGCTTCAAACAAGACCTAGGAAAAGACTGGAACAAAGTGTTGGCAACTTGGTTTTGCGTAGCTGGATCTGCATTATTTTTTCTTTATCATATATTCCATACTTATCTAAGGGCAGTGTTTTACAACCCAAAAGAGTCATAGCAATCATTATCTATGCCACACACCAATTTACATTGTGTAGCCAAATATCATCGTAAGACAAAGGGTATGTAATCTTAATGAGAGGCTCTTCTGAATTCTCTAGCCATTAAATTCAACATTTTTGTTTAAAATTCTCATTTTGATTCTTATCTGTTGTGAACATAGCAAGACATTTGTGGTCATTTTCATAGTAACATGCATAAAAGAGTACAATGCCCAAACTCTTGAACCATGTTTTACTTTCACTTTGCAGGAATCCATTCTTAGGGTGAGGGATATACTCCACCTTATCTAGCTTCCACTCACTTCTTACATTTTAAGAAAAACAGTGACTACACTAAAATAATATCTATTCTATTGCTATTGCTTATGTGGTCTTTCAAGCTGGTATTACCCACAAAAGGAAGTAGGGAAAATATTAATCTTTGTACAGCATGCTCAATTCATGGGGGGGGGAGCAGAAAGGACTGAGCCAGATGTTTCTTAAGATCCATAGTGAGCACCACATGCATTGATTTTTACATGCAAAACAGGCAACAATGACAGCAATACTATTACATGGCAATTATTCCAAATTCTCTATGTTCGCTGTATTGTCTGGGATGTGTGTGTGCACAAGATTTCTCATACTTCAGGAGAAGTCAGCAAAGTAGCAGTGGGCATTAATGCTTACAGGTTGAATCAGCATAAACTTGTGGGATCAGTGTAATTATAACTTTTTCTAATCCTATATGTTATTCTTGTGATTAAATACAAAAGTTAGAAAGTCCTCAAGAATATTTATTATACACAACCTTTACATAGCTGGCAGGGTAAATTAAGAATGATATTATCTTCTAAATGTTCAATCTCGCTAATCTCCTGCATGCATTCACCAGTTCCTTTTCTCTTGAGCTATTTTGTTCACATGCATTTTCCCAATAAATATACAAAGATATTGGGAAACAGTCAAGAGTGATGGAAGGATGAGCCACAATGATCTATCTAGTGGGTAAAAAGATATTTGTTAATCTATCAATCAATCTTTGCTATTTAAAAATTACAATCTGGCATGGTCAACAACTAGGCTTTAGGAAAATTCTTCTCATCGTATTTTAATCTTTCAATTCTGTTTTTTTTTCACCTCTCCAGTTTCTTTTTTTACAAGTATTAAGCAGCTGAAGGGCAACCCAAATAAGAAGAGTAATTTATGCTTACACCTATAGATGGTGCAATTGCTCATCCTTCCATTAATCGTTCTAACTGTTAAGAGACTGGAGACAGGAAAGTGAAGGTCCATGAGTGTATCTGATTTTTTCCATGCGTTTCCCCCCCTTTTATGTTTGAGAATGGGACCCTCCCCTCCAAAAAAGAAAGAAACCAGATACCTAATCTAAAAACTCTTGAATCAAGCGTGCAACAAGCAAAAATGTTTGATTGCTTTTGCAGTAGACAAAGAAAGGTTTTCATAAGAAAGACAACCATTCTTTAAAGGTCTTCAAATCATATAGTACGCTTGCTTTTACAGATGCATTTGCTAGCAATGACACTTGCATTCCCTGTAACATGCAAGTTGCATCCCTTAGTACCTGGTAGGATGTACAGTGCTCTTAACTATAGTGGGATTAGGTATTCTTGCCACTACAATGTGGGTATTCACAGTACATGAGGCAGGGGTAGATTCACTTTAAAAAAAAATAGCCAAGGGGAGGAAAAATTTACAAGGAAAGAGAAAAGAACAGCATTAAGGAAAGCATATAGTTTTCACTATGCAAGATGATATACATAGCTTTTCCAGAGTTCAGTAAGTTCAATAAATGTTTTATAAAATTGCATTTCCAAGGCCAAGTTATCTGTTCACAGGAATGTTTCCCAAAAAGTTTAACTGATTTTCATGTTCCTGTTACTTATAAAATCTTGTCTACAAAAGCATAGAGATTTGAAGGAGAGTCACAGGATTCTGTATTCATTATTAGGAGGGTGCATGCGTTTAGAAGGCTTCTGCTCTTCTGGTGGATTATGAAATTACACTGGCAGAGTTTTTCAAGGAAGGTGATATATTTGATTTCATTTATAACACCAAGTAATATCAAGTATATCTGTTATCATCTGTGATTTATTAATTGTAATATACATATACTTTGTCCTGATTTAATGACTGACTCCAAAAACTGATTGTGGTTCCCCTTAAATTACCATAATTTTCCAAAAATTGTTCCCCCTCTGCTAGAACCCCTTCATAATTATCTAGCTATAAATACTTCATGAATGGAAACACAACTGTCTAATTAGCCAAGCCAAGCAAATATTTTAGCTAACATATTTCTAGGACTTACGTAGCAGCAATGACCACCTCTTCCGTTGTAACAGGTTGCGTGTGTGATCTGTCTTGCATCCGTCTTAATCTTCTCTCCACAGCAGAATTTCTTGAATGTGGTTTTGGAACACTTTTATCATCAAGTGATTTTTCCATTTCCTGAAATGAAATATATTGTCAATTTAAAAGGAGGTCTTGGGTCTTAGATCAATACATTTGTAGAGAAGAAATCTTTAGTGCATTATGAGAGTTTATACTCACACAATGTCACTTTAAACTTTAGTGCATTATGAGAGTTTATACTCACACAATGTCACTTTAAACTTAAGTAGTGAGAAATTTAGATCTTCTCAGAAAAACAAAATACTTACTCTGAAAAGCAACCTCTTTGCAGCAACGCTCAGCTTAGCTCTTTCATCTAATTTCTCTTCATCTACAGAAAAAATGGTGTATTAGGCTCTAGAACAGATAATCTAAATTGCTCCCCACAACTCCTGCATACAATATAGGCCCTGAGTTTCAAGGGCCTATATTGTAATCAAGTAATCATCACTCTGTGACAAAGAATTATTATAGTGATGACCAGCAATTACAAGAAACTCCATCCATTTGGTTCCTTGATGTAAGAATGGCATGGATACCAGCTGAAAACCCATGGGTACTACAGAATGTATGGAGTCATGGAGATGACATTGAAGAAATTGTTAGGACAATCTATGTTAAGTTCAAGCAGGTGGAAAAATACTGAAAAAAAGGTTCAGACTGTCTCTCCTAAATCCTCAGACTACAACAGAGAAAACATAGGCAGACTTGCAATATTCTGTACTACAATTTATTTAAATAGAGTTCCAATCTCCCTATAGAATAAGTGTCTTCATCTGGGTTTACCTTGTAGGGCTGACACAGAGGCCATGAACACCTGAGCATAACCACACCGTCCTAAAGTGTACTCCAGTTAGTTCAGGAACAAGAGATACTGCGGGGCTGATAAACAGGCGATGCTTCAACATAATCCTTTTTCTGCCTGATACCTCTATCTTCCAACAGATCTTTAAGTTTTATTGAAGTTTATTACCTGATGTCCCCAGAGGCAAAGCATTTAAAACAGCAGCAGTCAGGATTTTTTCATGTTACCTTTTTTATCAATTCCAAAAATTGATAGCATCTAGGGCAATCTGCATTTGCAGCAAGTTTGCACAAGTTGAGACCAGATGTGACCTTTAGAATTGCTGTTTGATTTATTCATTAGCCCTTAGACCCTGACTTCTCTGATGTATCCTTTATTTTAGTTCCAAAAATTGTCTTATCACATCAACAAAGAAGCAAGACCTGGCTTGCCTGACTTGCTCTTGAAAGTTAAAAGAAGAATGTATTTCTTGATGGCTATAGCATAAAAGCACTGTCTCTTACATAGTTCTCTAATGTCAAAATATCCCTCTTTGAAAATTAGTCTGTCTTCTTTCTCTTTGCTTTCAGAACAGGTGTTTTTTGAAACATTTACTCTCCGCTTGTCAACTGAAAATTTGGCAGATTGAGACCCAAGCACTATGTGATGGGGTAAGCACCTGTGTTTCCCCGGCTCCTGTAATCTAGCAATTTGAAAGCATGCAAATACAAGTAAATAAATAAGTATCATTTCAGTGGTAAGTAATAGGGTTCTGTGTACCTCAGCGTAGTCATGCTGGCCATATGACCACTGAAGTGTCTTCGGACAACGCTGGTTCCCTTGGCTAAGAAACGGAGATGAGCACTGCCCACTACAATCAGACATGACTGGACAGGGGAAATCGTTACCTTTTACCTAGTTGACCAGAACGTCACTAACTGCCCTCATGGTGTTGAATATATTATCCTTATGTTTCATCATATCTTATGTGGTATTGGTTGGGTGAATCCCCTTTCCCACTCTTTAACATCCATATGGAGCCAAGAGGATGTTTGTGTAATGTTCAGATTAATTGCCAGTTAATTTCTAAATTCAGATGAGACTAGGAAAACATGCCACTCAGTCCACCTAGCAAAACCAGCCTGATGTTTATTTATTAAGTATCAGCAAACATTAAAACAGTGAACTGGGAAAAAAACAGGATAAAAGGCAAACAAAAGCAGGGAGAGAGAAAGATATGAAACACACAAATAAGCATATATACACACAAAATACATATATAATAGTTACAACTTCTATTCTGCTGTTGAAGAGTGAAGGAAGCAATTTGCAGGACGCGGTTCATGTATCCAATACAGGAAAGGTCTTCCAATAGTTTGGAGTGTGGTATCATTATTATGTTGGTCTATCCAACTTTATCTCATCACCCCAACAATATAAAGATGCTGTCAATGTCTTCTCCAGGTGGCTGGAGGCTATGACAGTCTGGATGTAAGAGAACTGGCTGAAGGTGAACTCAAGAAAGACAGAAATGAGAACAGTCTTTTACATTCCAAACTGTTCACCACCTGAAGTTTATCTTCAGCCAATTCTCTTACACCCAGATTGTCATAGTCTCCAGCTACCTGGAAAAGACATTGACAGCATCTTTATATTGTTGGGGTGATGAGATAAAGTTGGATAGACCAACATAATAATAATAGTACCACACTCCAAACTGTCAGATGACCTCTGTGTTGGATACATCATTCCCATCCTGCAAATTGTTTCCTTCACTTATTCAATAGAATAGAAGTGTAATAAGATGGCTACTGATATCAGTGTTATCTCAGTGGCTAAGCAAGCGTTGCCTCTGGAATTATGGCTTCTCAACAGAATGGCTAGAGGGACTTTGGTTCACTTTTGGCTGGTGTGCCATTTGCAGCTTCCCTGGTGCTGGAGGATCTGGCTACAGTAATTCATGCCTTCATTACCACCTGTTAGATTAGTGTAATGTACTCTATATAAACCTTCCTTTAAAGATTATTAAGAACGTGGTGGCTTTCTGAAGCCTGTGATATCTTATGCTAAGGATTCTCAGCTGACTACTCATTGGCTTCCAGATGTGATTTAATATGCTGGTGTTGAGTTGGGTACCTGTAGGACCATCTATTCCACCTTAAACTGGACTATTTGATAGATCTTCAATGATAAAACTCTATAATTCCCCCTTCCAGGAAGTGAGAGGGGCTGCAGGAGATGCTTTGGAATGCAGGGATGATGCTTTGGCATCAGACTGGATCCTTTCTCATAGTTTTTAGCAGGATGTTACAAAGAGCTTTTAATTCAATTAATGAACTTTTATTTTATTGTTTGTTATATTGCCTTACTCTTATTTGTTTTATGATGCATTTTGGTCTAATTCATTTTTAACTTACTATGGATGTTAAACTGTTTTTATATTATGCTAGCCATGAAGAGTTGCCATATTACACTGGAATATAAGCGTAATAAATAAAAATAAAGCAAAATGAAAATAGCCACAAAAAAGTATAGGTAAAAAAAATTCTTACCTTCAGGAGATGGCATTTCTGGATTAAAAGTGGACCTATGGAAATTGCACAAAGGAAAAAGATAAATCAATGGTCTTTCTTTTTACAAAGGAAAAAAAAATTTCACTTGAAGTCAAGGAGGACAGGAGAAACCACAAATAAGATAGTGTTTCAGTTTGCAATAATCTTTTGTTTGCAAATAACCTGAAAGCAGGATCGCAAGCAATTCCAGCCAGGTGTAAGTTGCATGAAGGAGAATGAAATCAGATAATTCATTAAATAAATAATAAAATATTGAAACACTTTAAAATATTCCCCGATGATTATAACTAGCACTGATGTCAGATTTTTTAAATAATTGCTTAAAACATTATAGATTGAATCTATTTTTACCTTAGAATGCATGCTGAACTTTTAAAGATAACCTGTTTCCTGTACCTAATATGGAATAGAATGTAGTTGTGTACATGTGTGTGCATATGTATGTATGTGTATAATAAAAACACTCCCTCCAAATCAGCCACCTCCAACTGCATTATTAGTCTGGCTGAATAATGTTTAACTTTCATTTAAAAAACCCAGAAAGAAATCCTAAAAGATCTTGAAGAGTCTAGTTTATTTTACTAATATAACGTGCAATATATAGACTATTATTCAGTGATCTCAGCTGTACAAATGCGTACCGATCTGTTTCCTTTCGCTCTGCTGAAGTTATGGGTTGAGTCCTAAATCTCTCAGAAGTCTTTCTATTTTCCTCAGGAGAAAAATACCGCCTTGGCTTTCGTGACCTTTTTTCGCTTTGAGCACTGCTCGACAAATCAGTACCTGATGTTTGCATCTCACACTGAGACCCACTTTTTAACACAGCAGAAAGTGGAGAGAGGGAACAACAAAGAATTAGGACGAACAGGGAGAGAAGAAGAATGAAAAAAGAGAAAGATGAAGGTCAAATGTAAGTGTCCCATTAAATCAGTCCATTATTGCTCACTCTGCATGCTTCCAGAAAAACCATGCACAGAAAAAGTACAAAGTCATTCCATTCCAGCCACCCAACATCAGAACTTGCACTAAGCAAGCAGAAGCATGTATGAACAAGAAGATGAAGGCCAACACTGTGTCAAACATACTAGATGGAAATTACACCGGGTATTTGAAGTGCTGCAGAATGCAACTGATGTTGAGTTTTGAGTGCCGTTTATGCCAAGGACGTGCAAGTGTTCACATCAGTTAAATAGTAGCAGTAGTAATAACAATAATAACCAGAAAATGTCACCTACAGTTCAGGTTTCTTCTTGGCATTAGCAGTTTCCAAAAAGGCATTACGGAGTTGGGCCACAGAGACTTTTGTATCAACCACAGAAATCTCACCATTGGGGATCTTTCCTTCAATGCTTTGAAACTGCATGATGTTCTTTGCAACATGCTGTTTACTTTTGAAAACTTCTAGTTTAGGAGATCCAGTGTGATCAGATAGGGAGCGTGTAAGGAATTTAGGTTTCACAGTAATTTCTTCAGGGGCCTGAATACTCCCTCTAGCACTTCGAAGATACATAACCTTTTCGGTTTTCTCAACATTCTCATGAATCTTCATCTTAGGTTCAGGCATCCACTCCTTAAAGCTCTTTAGATCCTTCTCAACTTTCACAGACTTTAGCTTCACAATTGAATCCTTCTTCAATCCATCTTCTCCACAGTAGGCCTCTCTACTCTTCATTTGCCTGTGCAACTCCGAAGGTCGAACTGCTTGTCTTTCCTTCTCAGCCTCCAATCCAGAATAATCAAGCTTGGATGATCCATATTTCTTAATCAAGGGACATTTCTCATTGTCCATCATAGCATCTGGTGGGAATCTAGTTATGAAGCTGGCATTGGCCTGTATGGGAATCCTGTTAGTGGGATTTCTTTCCGGTTCTTCAGGTGCCACCAATTGGGCTGTATGAGCAATTCCAGCAGGCTGAACATAGCCATGAGCTGGTTGGCAGGCTAAATCAAATGGTTTACTGGCAACCCTATGGAAAGCAGATGTTTCTGACTGAAGAGGCACAACATTAACCGGTACTGGGAGAAATTTTCTTTGAGACATAGTGTCTGTGAGAAGTTCAAGGCTTCCACGAGCACTTTCGTCTTTCACCAGTTTCTCTCTAACTTTTACTCTTTAAGAAAGAAAAATGGATTAAAAAGTGGTTCAGCTGTAACTGAGAAAAAGAGAAAGAGAGAAATAAACATGCACCAACTTTGGGAAGAGACAGCAACATTAAAGTATTAGATATTGTTAAAACAGGAATTCGCAGAGAACTTTCCATGAACTACTTGTTGCCAATTTCACTCCCCTCATGTCATGATTCTGGTCACTGATTTCAGTGTAGCCACTTCTCCATCTATTTTTTATTTTCATGCACTAAACAAGGTGTTTTTAACTTTTATGGTCTACAGTGTTTATTTGCTAGGGTGGATACAGAGCCCAATATGGCCGAATTAAGAATAGTTAAATGTATAGTCTAGCTATCTACATCCCTGAAACACATAACTAGGCCATTTGTTCTCAAATATGTTGAACATGCCACTTTCTAATGTTTGCAGTAGAAAAAACTCCAAGATTCTTCCAGAACAATGGAAATACATGCACTTTTGACTGCTTGTCATATGCACTTTTATAAAATATCTGCTGTGGGAAGTGTATCCAAACACAGAACACTTGTTTATGAGGAGGCAAGCTGGTAAAAATATTTCTTATAAATTTTTGAAACCTCCTAGAATTTCCCTCTCCCATTTCATCTTATTGTCTCTTTTTTCTCTTAGCAAGTATGAACACATTCTAATGAAGCCGTGGGCACAGTCAACCACCATTTCTGGCAAATAGTATCTTGGGAAACCTAGTCATCACACCCAATGCTTTGAAGCATTGTTGGAAATATACTCGTCAACTTTCCATTTATTACTTTTAATTAAAAGAATATAAAACAAGTAGAATCTGTTGGGAAAGGAACTCGGTGAACATACAGAGGTGTTGGCACGCAATTTAGCACCTAATTGGAGCTTAATAGATTTCCTGATAAGAATCTATAATTCTAAAATTATGGACAACGTATGTATAATTAGAGCTAATTGCTTCAAATATAAACAATGCCAAGTTTCTGAACAGAGAGGAAAGAGAACCTTAAATTTTGGTATGCACATATAACTATTATATTTTCAATATATATAAATGTGTTATTTATGAAAGACATGTTCTGCAAAATATGCAATAATCATGAAACAGAAAAAATAAGGTACTGCACACTGTATATTATACTGCATATGTATTTAAAAATTCTACGGTATTATCAAAATTGCAGCCTAGACGCCTGCAACTGGCCCTGTCCTATTCAGTCTCCCAATCTTGTGTCCTCTTTTTTGGGAGGAGCTGTCTGCAAGTTAGTTTTGACCCCTAGAAACTACCTGGACAACTCTCTGCAGTTTTTTGGCAAGATTTTGAACTCATTTGCCATTTTTTTCTTCTTCTAGAGCTGAGAGAAAGTAACTAACTGGCTTTCTATCTAGCTGGCTTTCTACCTCAGTAGGACTAGAACTCACAAACTCCTGGTTATTAGCCTGGTGTCTTAACCACTATTCCAAACTGGCTCTCTTAATCTTGTGCTACTGAAAAAAATACAGCTCATGTTTCTGGAAGTAATATATCAATATTGTGATTAAGAGTCTGAAATCCTTAAACAAAGTGAATTTGTCATATGCTTATTAAAGCTAGCCATGTGCTAGCATTTGTTACTCAGTGAAGGCTCCTTCACTGAGGATATTTCATCTATATGTAAACGTGAAGATTTTCATAATTCTAAAAAAAGCTACTGAATTAAATATTATGGGAAACAACCCAGTATGGAAACATTTCTGCGTTTAGTACTTGCAACTTTTTACAGGCTGTTATTCTGTTGTGTTACTGAATGCAAGGCAAAGAAGTAAGTTAATGACATAAAACTGTGAAAAGAAAGCTTAAATTTAGACAGTTCCACTATATCTATAGCTGTGGAGCAATTTCTATTAACAAATCATCAATTAATTGTGAGTGAGCAGGATTTTCTAAGGGAACACTGTGCACCAAAATGGTCCATTAACTAGAAACAGTGTTTTATGTTTTATGATTCCACGCCATCAATAGATATTAATGACATTTGTTAAAATGATCATGGATGAATGAAAAAAGAGGGAAAGATTACAGTCAAGTTATTATTTACACCACACATCTACATGGTAGAATACCTGGAGGGCCAGTTGATCAGTGAAGTTGTGTCCCCATCTGAATCTTTCTGAAGAAACCAATCGGCTTTTGTTTTCCCTGTACTACTACAGAAAATAGAACTTCAGAAAATGTTCAGATAATATCCAAAACATGTACACTCAACTCCTCTATTGACCCTAGTTAAACCTGACTGGTAAATCATGGTAAGATTTCAGCTTTCAACTTAAGAATAGCTGTATGTGAATATAACTAGGGATCCATCTACAAAAGATACTTCTACTGACACAAGACCATAATATGGAAGTGTGCACAAAGAAATATTTTTCTAAATATGTTACATGTTTAATCTAAATAAGAAATAATGAAAAAATAAGGTAATACTTAATACTAAATTAACAAATGATACATTGAGTTAAAAGGGGAATGGAATTCTAAATATCAAGATATAAGACAATTAAAATTTAAGCATTTTCTTATAATATCTCATATTATTAGTTAGACTGAATCTTTTATTAGAAAAAGTATTTATTTTTTAATATATATTTTATTTAAAACACATAATTTTCAAAGCTTTTAAATATCCTGCACCTGAAAAAACTATGATGCAAGAATATTATTTACTTCCCCACATACCTAAATTGTAATAAATAAATATATACATTTAAATGAAAATAAATTTTATTTATGGGATTTACTTCTAAGTAGATAGATATCCGTAAGATTGCCCCATTGTTGTCATTCCTTAAAACTGAAACTATATATGTATGTATGTATGTATGTATGTATGTATGTATGTATATGTATATGTATATGTATATATATGTAGGTCTTTGGTTATTCGGGTTTTCTCCCGTGTAAAATTGGAAGTGTCTTGGCGACGTTTCGACGAAGTCTCATTCGTCATCTTCAGGCTGGTGTTTTCAGCTTCGTGCTCCTAGAAGCAATGGGTGGTTGTAGCTGTTTCTTCCTTTTAACTGCCAGTGGGAGTATGAACTGATTGGGTGGGAGCTTGGCTGTGTTCTGATTGGGTAGAGGTGTGTTCTGATTGGTTAGGGGCTTGGCTGTGCTCTGATTGGATGGGGGGTTGGCTGTGCTTTGATTGGCTAGGAGAGTGTTCTGTTTGGGTGGGGGCTTTGTTGTGCTCAGGTTAGTCTGAGTTGCAGGGGTATTTGAGATAGTGAGCTGCATTACTATTGTTTGGCTTTGCGTTTGTGATCATGCCTCATCTTCATGGTGGGTGTCAGTTTGCTTTCTGTATGGGTTGGAGAGGTTTAAAGTGGCTAATGATGCATCTGTGGTCCGGTTTCTGGTTTGTGGTCGTGCCTCATCATCGGTGTGGGTAAAAAGCAAACCCAAACCCACATTTCCAATTTTACGCGGGAGAAAACCCAAATAACCAAAGACCTACATACAAACACCCGCGAAAACCTCAGAAAACACACACACACACACACACACACATATATATTCATATTCTTGATACTGAAACAAAACTACATTTTTAATAACAATTCACACACTCAATTCTTATTAATAAGATTTATAGAATAGCTGTTTTAGGCCAGCTTCTCATAGCAACTACTTTTTTCTTGGATGACATTGGTGAAAGTAAGTAATACTTGTGTAGTGATTAGAATACAAAAGTGAAGATGAAATTTGGGGTGCATTCATCAGCACTATTTTATAGTGTATGTTTTTTAGGAATTGTCAAAGATGCAACATACATATACCAATGCACACATCAAATTATCTTTTCTTCTTCAAATCCAGACACTGCATAGTCTTACTAAGTTTTGTTAGCTTTTGAAGCCATCTAGAAGCTACACTTTTTCAAATTACAAAATTGGTAAAATGCTAATGCTGAATTACAAGACTGAAGTGGTAACAAAAAAGAGGAACAGAGTTCCCAATGTGCTCTTCTTAGCCCATATCTTCTTTGTGGATAGGTAAATTTGATCCAATTGTTTCCAAATAAGGTATACTCCAGATGTATTTGATGTATTCCTGGGTATTTGGTCTTGGAATTATGAGACGTGTAGTCAAAACATATAAAAGGAACATGTTGGGAAAATTTGCTTTACAAATACTTTAAACCAGGAGTCCCCAACCCCCAGTCTGTGGCACTGGGCATCAGAAACTGGGCCGTGCAAACAAGCGAAGCCCTATTGGCAGGCTGCTGGCAGCATACAAAACCACACCCCCTCCGGTCCGTGGAAAACCCTCTTTCCACAGAACCAGTCCTTTAGTGCCCAAAAGGTTGGGGGCCGCTGTTTTAAACTGAAGATAATGAAACACTGGGCAAAGAAATGGGGGAAAATGCAATTAGGAACGATTTCTTCAGATCAGATATAAAATTCTACCGAGACTATGGGCAATTTTATAGAACAGAAGTGAATTCATGGAGGGCATCATTGAAAAAGGCAGTAACTGTCATCTGTATAGATCAAAATCTATGGTTAGAGCTTTATTTTCTTGATAATTGGTTTAGAATTTTTGATTAATTGAATAGTAGAAGCATATCCAAAATAACTGACAGTTTTAAGAACTAGCACTTTTGCTTTATCTCTGAAAGCATAATAAAAGTGATGATAAAGTTGTTTAAATGTACTTTACAGAATTTATATTAAAGGACCATAAAGTAATAAAAAGATAATGTCTGCTGCAGCCAGTTTAAAACCCTTGCTGAATACAATGAATCCAAACCACTTATATGGAGAAGTGGATGTTAAGCACTGTAAAGTAGTGCTTCTCCAACTGATTATCTTAGAAAGGAAACAATGTATTGAATCAAAATTCAAAAATCATGATAAACTCCAAAGGTTATTCCAAAAGTTATTTGTTTTACTGAAATAGTGTTGAAGTCCCCCCCCCCTAATTTCAACTTCTCAGGAAGGAAGATGTATTTGGGAGTGTACTGTGCTGTGCAATCCAGTTTATACAATCAGGATTGACCAAAGCTGGCTGAGTTCAGATGTAGGCTGAGTCCATTTATCATAAATCTTTTTCCTGGCCTGACAGCCACATAGAACTGGACCAATTGTTTTCCTGAATCAATCTTGTACCTTTTGCTTCTTAAATCTTAAGTCTTGGCCTACTATCTGGAAACCCTTCGCCTGATCTTGATTTCTGTCTGTTGCTCTATGAAATGTCATTACTGATACAGACCTTCGTATGTCTTGAATGTTTGATATGGCCATAATTATATAGTTAGTAAATGTGACTTATGACTGGCTGCTTAGCAACAGTTTGAAACTTTATTGGACACTAAAAAGCATATTTATGACCTGGATTTAACATTGTAAAAGTTGCCCCCCCCCGGCAGTCCCATGATTGGCATTTTGAGCACATGGCAATTCGCTTGCATTTATGGCCATTTGCAATGTCCCATAGTAATGGGACTGGTGTTTACTTCTAGTTTCTGGTAAAAAATAGCCATTACAAATAATGGATTTGTTTAACATATGCTGTATTCGCTTAATGACTACTGCAAAAAATGTTGTGAAATCAAGCATAATCACATGATGACCGGCTTAATAGCTGGAATGACTTACAACCACAATTTAGGGCTCAGTTAAGTCAAGAACTACCTGTACTGTCATTTACTAATTCTATTATGAGTGGTTTTAATAAATCTCAGCACTATTAAAATATTTTAATCCCCTGTGATAGAGTTATTATTCAAATCTTCCAGGATAGATTACTTTCTTACCTCAAAACAAAACACTTAAGAACACTTTTGTAAATGGTTATTAAAGAATGAAACATGCATTTCCCATGTATAATATACAATACAGAGAAGAAAAACTGACCCTTCAGATATTCTTAAACAATAACTTCCAGTGAACTTTCCCTATTGGTTGAGACTATCCACTGCTGTTGTCATGTTTTGAAGTGTTAATTTGATTTTTTCAAATTCTTTTCATTCTCAACAAGGCTTTAAAAAACAGGAGATAGTCTCTGTTGCATAACCCAAGATTGGGTCTGCTAATATTTATGCTTTTTTTTCACCTTCTTAATAGAAATACAAAGAAGAATACATACATATTTTTCTTCTTCTTCAGTAGATTTTCAAGCATTCTCTACAATGCTTCAGGGAGCTTTTCAATCATAACATTTCATCTGTATCATTGCTTTAATTTCTTTTTCAAAACTCATTTTAGAAGCATTCTCCTTTCCTATTTCTATATTGTTAGTAATTTAAATAAAATATGACTTATTTCCAAGTATTATTATACCTCTAATATTAAATCTGAGTGCACAATATATGGATAGGATCATATATATCTAAGCTGCTCAGTGAACAACGGCAGTAATAGCAGACTTACCTTAATTTGGGGTCATTCAGGGAAGGACTTAGTGATGTTCCTAGCTTTGGTGAGGAAAGGGAAACACTTTGAGTTTGTTTTGGTAAACTTGGCACTTCATTTACGGAAAAGTCATAGCCCGGAAGTGAGAAACCTGTGGAATTCTCTGATGCAGAGGGCATATTGTATTTGCTCAAGCTAGATTCAGGGGCTTTTCGTTCGCTGTCTTCATTCAAATGAAGTTTTTCTCTTTCCGGAGAACTCTCTTTGTCATCATGCCCAGGAAACTCCTTTGACTCAGAAGTAGTATTCCTCAGCTCCTTATTCTCAAATCTCAATGAATATGGAAAAGTGTGATCTTTACCTTCATCCTCTTTTTTCCCACTTTTCAATACTTTCTTCTCAGACACATCTTGGTCTTTCTTTGCCCTTGTGTATTTGGATAAATATTCTGAATCCACATCTGAATCGATGGAGAGTCCATACTTTTCAGCCAGTTGTCGACGTCTTTCTGCCTTGTACCTAGCTATCCTCTCAGCTTTGGATTCAAGTCCTTGGGGATCCATGACTAAGGGGCTGTAAGAAGGGGGTTTTGTTTTTCCTGCGGTGGATTCTGCTTGATGCCTGGATCTAGGCTGATTTTCTAGTAGAGAGTCTGAAAATTCCTTTTCATTTGATCTTCCTATAACAACACAAAAAGAATCAGATGTATCAGAGGCCCTATGTTCAGCATAGAGTTTATGTTGGACTTTGAAGTATCCAAATAATGATTTGAATTTAAAGCATTGCTATTTACCACAGCTATAGTGAAAATATAGACAGGGCAGTTTTCTTCAACCTACAGTCCTTCAAATACCTGACCTTGCTGGCTGAAATTCTAGGAATTTTACTCTCAACACATTTGAGAAAAAGCTTAACAGAATCAGGGTACAAGCCTTTTATTCCTCTGCCAATTGCTTTTGAGTTAGGAAACCCTTCAGATCTTGGTTATGTTATGTTATGTCTGTAGAGTCAGCAATTCTCTGATTTCTACTGCAGTCAGAATCAAACAAAATATATTTTTGCAAATATATTTAAAATTTGCTTAAGTATTTAAGGTTAGAGAACAATTATTTCTAAATATGAGTTGTATTTTTTTAAAAAATAGCACATAACCACAGCTTTTCAATCCTACACAGCTTTTCAATCCTACACAATCCCACAGCTTTTCAATCCTACACAATATAACGCTTCTGAATATTCTTCCGATATTCAGGCTAACTGTGATGCTGATGGAAACAGATTTTTCGAGGTTCTTATAAAGTCATCTGTGCCTCTGAACTGTGCGACACAACATACTGTGAACTGGGGGTGATGAGCATTTACAATGTGCCACTAGAGAAAGAGAAGGAATATTTGCTTTGAATCTCCTTTGACTTGCAGTTTCATGAATATCTACAGGTAATCCTCAATTTAAGACCAGTCATTTAACAACTATTTGAAGTTACAATGATCTCAAAAAAAGACTGCTTTACTACTTATAAAAGACTTGCAGCCATTATAAAACATTGTGTTGCCTCCCTTTGGTCAAGGGAGGGTCATGTAACCACAATTTGCAACTTTTTTGCCAGTTTCCAGTGTATTTTGCTCATTTCTGGCAAAAAAAGCCCCCATTTGGAAGAACAGATTCACTTAAAAACCATGTGATCCTCTTAATGTTCCCATGATTTAGACTTACAGTCATGTGATTTACTTAATGACCACCATAAAAAACCATTGAAAATTGGACCTGGACATGTCTTTTCCTCAACCTATAATCAAAACAACTTACAACCAAAATTCCAATAGCAATTGTGGCTGTAAGTTTAGAACCACTTGTATCTACAAAAGAGAGCTGAAGAACCCTTTGGGAAGAGGTTGGGGTGTACCAGTGAGTGCTGCAAGAAGAAACAAAACCAGCCAAAAATTATCGCCATCCTTCTAGAAGAAGTTTCTTCAGATCTGATATGGACAGACATATCTGAATTTAACCAATGATAATATACTTTTAAAAAAAACTGTTCTAATAGTCTTTATAAGATTAAAAACAGTAACATTCAAAGCCTGTATATCATAACACCTTAGTCAATGACAGTTTCTAGGAGCTCAAACTTATGACAGCACTTGGACAACATCAACATATATCACAAATGTATTTCTTACCAAAATGAGGGCTATATGGATCAGTTGCACGCATGTATCTTGGTGTATCCTCTTCTAACAAACGATGGGTGACCAACCCGGGACAATTTTGCAAAAGAACGGGTTGAACATCATTTTCAATTCCTTCTAAACGCCTAGCTATCCTCTCTTTCCTGTAAAAGAGAGGGTAAAAATAAGAGAGTATAACATAAATGTCACCTATAGAAAAGGAAGTTGAAATGATTTTTATAAAACCATTTATACTTTGCTTAACATAAAGATGGAGAAATACCTTTTCATTTCCAAAATATCCTGTCTGTTTGGTTCAAAGAGTTTTCTTAATTCAGAAACTAAAAAATAAAAATAAAATAAACATTTTAAATTTGAAACAATATAGCTGTAAATAGAAATGCTTGCGTTTTCATAAATATAAATTAAATATAAATTAAATACCTACCAATTATTTCCTTGTTCAGTTTATCTTTCATGCTTTCCATGGGATTTGTATTATGCAAAAGTTTGCAAGCCACTAACTCTACCAGAATAATATTAACACTCTAACTCAGTATTTCTCAGCCTTGTGATATGTGGGCTTCAACTTTCCGAATAGTCAGAGAAGCTGGCTGAAGTTGAAGTCCAGTTAAAAGAATACTGCTCTAACTTATACCTAAAATGTTCCATAATGATCTGTAGTCATGCATCAATCTTGATGTATAAAAGCAAAACACATTACAACCTATTCCTTATCTTAAACATGTATTTGTTGAATTACCTTAACTGTCTTTTTTCCATAGCAGATATCCACAAAAGATTTTTTAGAACAGCATGTCACACCTCTTCTCTGCAAGGTTTTTTTTCCCCAGGCTAATTCAAGATGCTGGATTTGACTTTTAAAGCCCTTCCTGGCATGGGATCAGGGAATTCCTGATTATCTTAGCCCATCCCATTAGATCTGATAGACATCTGCTAAGGATTTCATCTGAGAAGGACCTATACTTGATAGGGCCTAGGAGGTGGGACCGCTCTCCCATAGGGTTTTCCCTCTGAACTTAGGTAAGTTCTGTTCTTGTTAACATTTAAGAAGTCCCTCACACCTGGTTATTTAGTCAGGTTTGGGGATTCCAGGGAGCTAGCAACATTTTAAGGTAGCTCTCTCATTATGGGTAATAGGTGCTTGTTATACTTCTCTGTTTATGGTTTGTAATTTTAATTCTTTTAATGATTTTTAATTTTTTTAATAATGATTGTCTATATTTTTATAACTTTTTATGATTGCTTAAACTGTACACTGTTCAGAGTTGGGTGGCTATGTAAGTTTGATTAAATAAATAAATAAATATTACTACATTGGCAATATAAGCAATGGTAGTAATATTATCAAAATGGTCATTATTAGATGCATGGGCAGGAGAGTCTAACAATTTGTGTCTTCAAATCAGTCTTGACTTTTGATGACTCCCTGGACAAGTCTCTGTAGCAGGGGTCTTCAAACCTGGCCCTTTTATGACTTGTGGACTTCAACTCCCAGAATTCCTCAGCCAGCATGCATACAGTCGTCTTGTCCATACTCACAACTGAGTCATTGAAGAACAGATAATAATGCAAAGTTTGCTTTGGGTACTATAGGCAAATATGGTGCAATTTTGTAGGCCGAAATAAAAGCAGTGGCCTTGAGTAGTATTTTTCAAATCTTTTCTAAGCAAGATTTGAGACAAAAATAGCACACCCAAATCTATCTAGGGCTATGCATTTTCCATGCTTTAAATTCCAGAGACGTCGTATCAATTACCTAGTTTAGATCCTATCTGCATAGAGAATTGTTAATATATTTTAATTCTAATGTCAATACAAGTTAATACACAGACTTCTACAATATGTTCATACAAGTAAAATTCACATCAGGTTACATATAAAAAAATACATACGATCTTATCCTGGAAGACACATTAAGCGGTGCTTTTTCTGCACATCCTACAGTGTATAGGACACTAGTGCAAATCACCTATTTACTCCTTTCACAATTCTATTAAAGGTAAGTAATTTCATATTGTTGTTGTTGTTGTTGTTAATTGCGAAGTCGTGTCCGACCCATCATGACCCCATGGACAATGTTCCTCCAGGTCTTCCTGTCCTCTATCATCTTCTGGAGTCCATTTAAGTTCACACCTACTGCTTCAGTGACTCCATCCAGCCATCTCATTCTCTGTCGTCCCTTCTTCTATTGCCCTCAATCTTTCCCAGCATTAGGCCCTTCTCCAGTGAGGGCCTAATGCTGGGAAAGATATAGATATGCTAAATAAAGTTTAGCCCAGTGCTTCTCAATCTTAGCAACTTTAGGACATGTGGATTTCAATTTCCAGAATTCCCCAGCCAGCACAATTTAACAGAATGTTTAAAAAAGAAAGACAAGGCATTTAAAAAGTATGTGCCTTAGTAATGATCTGTCCCAGATTTTCTTAAATCTTTTTATCTTATGGATTTTGCATGTGGAATGTCAGCAGCAACTTTATTTAGCATGCTGCCTCCATAATATAAACTGGGTTATGCTAAAATATATTCCATTAGTAATCATTTTGTTTAAAAGCTGTATGTTGTTCAAAGTATGTTTAATGAACCCAACAGACACTTCAGGAGTTGAGATATGCAAGCCCCAGGAATATCCCAACTACACCACAAATATACCAAAATAATAAAAGACAGAGCATATTTTGGCCTACATCACTGTCTTTAAAGGAGCTTTAAATTACAGAAAGGAACAGTCTCCCTGTTATAATTAAGGAAGAAATATCTGGCAGAAACTTCTTAAGACATAAAATGTTTCCTCTTAGATACAGATCTCAGAACAGTATTTTTCAATTTCTGTTAAAAGAAAAACTGAATGCCTTATTGTAATTCCAGCCACAAGAGAAAGGCATATAGCATAGTTTAATAATGATATCTTGAGATAGTCCAAAATAAAGAAAAATTACTATAAATTGATATAAACTAGCCTATGAACATTCTTTTTATGCATTGTTCCACTTACGATTAGTTCCTGTTGCAATGAGAACCTCAATAATTTCAGGGAAGCAATGTGGTAACAAACATTTATCAAGAACAGTCAAAAGATTCAAAGACAGAATAGCTGCACTTAAGGTAAACTACACCTGTGCAAAACAGCAATTGCCTTCTTCTATAACAGTGGTTCTCAACCTGTGGGTTGGGACCCCATTTGGGGTCGAACGACCATTTCACGGGGGTAGCCAAACAATGCAGTCTGCCATTTTTTTCCCCTTTTCCTTAGCTGTGCTACTCCCTTTTATTCTATTGGCTTTTGAAAGCCAATAGAATAGGCTCTCCTGAATAGAGTCTAATTCTATTGGCTTTCAAAAGCCAATAGGAATTGTCCAGGCTGTCTCTGTCCTGCTGAGCCCGCCAAAAGTCCCATTCTGCAAACGGTGCTGCACCAGTTGAGTAGTCCTCGACTTATGACCGGTTGAGTAGTCCTCGACTTATGTCCGGTTGGGGGTCGCGACATTAAAAAGGTTGAGAACCACTGTTCTATAATAAGCAGTGAATCACATAACAATGTTATCTGGAGTGGATCTGTAGTTACAACACACTGAGGTCCAGGGTGAACATTTAAACTGAGGGTGAGAAATTTATGCACAAAGGCTGCATGTCTCCATTCTGAATGGAGTCAATATTTATACCAATTTGTATGTGGGAGGAGAGCTGGAAGGGTTTTAAGACATGAAATAGGTATTAAGCACACTTCTCAAATCCCAATTCCTAACAAATTGTCTGAATTTCTCCTCCTCACCTCTCTCCCTCTCCCTCCCTCCGTGTGTGTTTGTGTTCATGTGTGTGTTAGTGGAATATTAAGGGCCAAATGTTCATTATTTAAATTCCCACCAAATTCTGATGAAAAAAAAAATCTTAAAATTTCAGGTCAGCTCATTCCAGTGATATCACATAATATTATGCCAACTTTAAAGATCTAATTGGATGCAAGTCATTGAATGAAACAAGATATATGATTCTAAACAACTGCAATTAGGCATGGACTTTAAAGACAAATCTTTTTAAAAATAATTTATGATTCTCAATATAACTGATCCTTTATAGCTTACATGTGGCATGCCAGAATAAACATTGGGTATCTCTAGTCTAATGAAGAGAAGGACGAGGGGGGACATGATAGCAGCGTTCCAATATCTCAGGGGCTGTCACAAAGAAGAGGGAGTCAAGCTATTTTCCAAAGCGCCTGAAGGCAGGACAAGAAGCAATGGATGGAAACTAATCAAGGAGAGAAGCAACCTAGAACTAAGGAGAAACTTCCTGACAGTGAGAACAATTAACCAGTGGAACAACCTGCCTCCAGAAGCGGTGAATGCTCCAACACTGAAAGTTTTTAAGAAGAAACTGGACAGCCATTTGTCCGAAATGGTATAGGGTTACCTGCCTGAGCAGGGGGTTGGACTTGATGACCTCCAAGGTCCCTTCCAACATTATTATTATTATTATTATTATTATTATTATTATTATTATTATTATTATTATCATCATCATCATCATCATCATCTAATAAACGTTCTCCTAATTTTAGTTTTTGCACCCAAACGATGAAGAAATGATATTCATAGCAAAGAGTTGATGGATATTTCAGTTTCATTGTTTGGGTGCTAAAACTGAACTGTTGGAAGAATATACAGTATATTAAATGTTTATTTAGCATGGACTGAAATACATTCACCTCCAAATTTAAGTGTCTTATAGTACATACATTATGATACTGTTTATAAAGAAAACATGACTACTACAAGCCTTGTACGTACCTTTTGGCAATACTGCTAAAAGACTGGCATCAATATCTTTAGTGCTGTTTGAAAAGTCTTCTTTATCTTCAAATGAAAACTCTTTCTGAAAACTGAAGCATCATCATCTTGTTTTAACAAAGCTCCAGATATTAATCTAGTTACAGTATATTAAAACACACAGATTATTTTTATCATACACATAATACAGAGTAAAGAAGATCAGGACCAGTTCTCAACATTGGCCAAAAAATAAAGAAGTGAGATTACAAAATTATAGTCCATATAATCATGTTTTGGAGCTGATAATCCTTTTGATTTTAATATGGAACATAGTATCCCATAACACAGATACTAACCTTCTCAGAAACTTCTCTTTTTATGTTTTTATGGGGACATGAACAACAAGAATTTATATCCTCTCTATATTCAATGAACAGCCAAAATATTTGCTTGGCACAGTGAGAAATTTTCCAATTCTTAAAGCTCCCAATTCTTAAAACTTCCGATTCTTAAAGCTCCAAGCACAATTCAATATGTTGGTTCTGCCTAGTTCAGTGATGGCGAACCTTTTAGAAACCGAGTGCCCAAACTGCAACCCAAAACCCACTTATGCATCGTCGGGTGCCAGATGGGTGTGGCCCATTGGCTGGGTGTGGCTGCGGTGGTAATGGCAGACTGGGTGGGACTAAAAAGTTCAATCAATCAATTCCAACTTTGCAAGATCTTTTCTTTTTCCCATGAGAAGTTGAAATTGACTGGTTGATTGAACCTTTTTTTTTTTTTTTTTTTTGCACATGGCGGCAGGGGCCTGAAGCGAAAAGGTTTTATAAAACCCAGCTGAAGGCCTAGGACTGGGGTCACGGCACGTGTGCCCACAGAGAGAGTTCTGAGTGCCGTCTCTGGCACCCATGCCATAGGTTCGCCACCACTGGCCTAGGTAATCCATTTGATATGTTGGATATAATTCATATAACCACTGAATATCAGCCATACTAGCTAGGGGTTTTCAAGGTTTCAATCCAATTATTTGGGGACATCAGCTGGTTTGGTATGAGATTGCTTAAGAAACAACTGTCTACTCTCATACAAACCTGCATACCACGCATATTTCCTATCAAAAGCTAATAGAAGGTTATCAGGACAAGGTTCTTTTTTAGTTGAAGTCCTGTCTTTGCAAGCATCTCTATAGTTTAGGAGGTGAAGTGGGGAGCTCTTTCAACCTCTGTTTTAACATAAACATTGATCTATTCTTACTGTACTCTAATTTTACTGTAAATTTCTATTCAGCTCTTTGAATGAAAATGCAAGATAAATTGTGTAACAATAAAACTTGGAGGTATTTGGGGGTAAAGTTTAAAGAAAAATGGCATATAAAGTTATGGAGATTTTAGCTTCCATTATTCTAAACTGGTCTGCAATTGTCCTGCATGGTTAGAAGTGGTGGTGATTACTGACTAACATGTATAGAGGACACCAAGGCTGTTACAAGATATCTGAAAACAGCAATCCTGGGATGTCAAAATGCACCCATCATTGTTGTTCAATTCTCAGAAAGTGTTATTCTTGGATTTTTTTATTCCTAATTGATGAATTTTGAAGTCTCATTTAGCCTATATCCATACATTGAAAACAAAGAAACTAAGTTCAAATACTTTTTTGTACTGAAAGTATCTGCAATGCAGTACACCATTTTGTAATTTGTTATATTAATGTAATCAGTTGGGAGCCAATTCTGATTGCAACCAGATTTATGCTGAGTATATGAGAAATGAATGGAAATTAGATTTTGAAATGTCCACATATTCCTAGAAAGTTTGCCTTTCTAAACGTTATTTCTATCAATACAAAAGAATATTTGTAGCTCAGAGATGAACTGTGGGGATACTGGTGCCCTCTGAGCTTGGTTGTTTTCTTGCAGATGTTTCATTATTCAACTAGGTAACATTAAGAAACTACCAAAAAGAAAATAATACTGTGCCAACTTGTATATAAACAATATAAACAGAAAGACCCTTTTCTAACACTGATGTTGAAACGCTTGCAAGAAAATAACCAAGATCAGAAGACACCAAGAACCCCACTACTATTCCTATTCTGGAGACTTGGAAGTCAATCTTGATTACACTCCCTTGACAGATTTTCATTGAAGATACATATGAAGACATATATGAACAGTGATAAAGTCTAAACAATTAATATATCCTTCATTAATGCATCCATGTTCAGGTGGCAAAAATAATTTGAAGTTTAATTTAAAAACGCCAAGCTTTCGCCGTCACCTGCCGGCATCATCAGGGCTGGCCACCTGCCGGCATCATCAGGGCTGGGCCGCCAGGGTGTGAGAGAGTCATTTTATAGGCAAGCCGTAGTCTGCACCCGGCTCCTTGATCTCGTCACCGGGCCCAAACGGTGGTTCGTTTCTTCCTGTCCTTCCTAGCTACGTGTGTATCTTCATCTACCTTCTTTTCTTTGGCTTCTGAGGCAGGTGGCATAAACTCCTTGTCTTTCCGATTGTCTCTATCCCTCAATCCATTCTCCCTTTCGGGTTCGAGTGGTAATTTGCATTTGTCCTTTTCTTTTCCCAGATCACGCTTTATCCAGTCACTTTCTCTATGAGTATCTTTCTTTTCGTCCTTAACGCCCCTCCCTCGTGCCCAACTGTCATCAAGATAGTCATACGCAGTGTTCCAAATCGGTTGGGGTGGCTCAATAGGTTGTTTTTCTATGGGGGTGATCTCATAGTTATAATTATCTTTGACTACCACACCCTTCCCTTCCTTTTTGTCCTCTGCGCTCTTGTCGCGCATGCTATAATCTGAGGTCTTGGTCTGGGGGGGGTGGAGTTGCGATCTTCCTGAGCGTGATAACGCTCCTTCTTTACCCTCCTCTTCATTCTGACGTCTCTCGCTCCTGCGTGTGTATGACGGGAGTCTTTGGAGTCCATGGTTGTTGCCGGTACGAGGCGCGGTAAGCTGATCTCATTGGCTCCGCCCTCTCTCGCACCTCTCCGTCTGGGCTCGTTTTTCTCCTTACTTTCCGGAGCGTCCGCAGGCTTGCTGTTATGCTCGGCGCCGTCCCGCACTCCATATGTTTTTGGGCCGGCTGATGATGCGGAGTAGGGGGATCGCTTCTTCTCCCTTAAGTCGGTCATCCTGTTTCTTTCTGAGCATCGGTGAGGTGTCCGGTTTAACGATCTCTCCCCATCTTTGTCTATCGTGTCTCCTTGCACGCTAAGTGGGATATCTCCGATGTTCATAATGCAGGGGTTCTGGGCTTTAATTTCTATCGCTCTCTTAGCTTTTTGCAAGTGTGTTAACATTGTGGGGGTAGTGGGGATTCTTAGTCGCTGTCCCTCCTCTTCTGGATTGCACCGAGCTGACTGGGGGGTTGGCATATCACCTGTGGCTTTCTCGCTAGGTTTGTTGTCGGGCCGGTAGTAGCGAGATGGGTGGTTGGTCGCACTCCATGATCTAAGTGCCAAGTGTGCCGGCGAAAGCTTGGCGTTTTTAAATTAAACTTTTATAGTTTTAATTAGTACCTTGGTGTTCATTTTATTTTAGATATGAATATTCCCAGGGTTCATATTTTTAGCGTTATTAACTATATATATATATATATATATATATATATATATATATATATATATATATATATGTATATGTATATGTATATGTATATGTATATGTCCAAAAAAACCCCCAACAACAGCCATATAATAAGAAGGCAAAAAATGGCAACTAAGGATAACTCCTCAACAGTTGTCAACAAAACCTCACAGGCTCCACTAATCTCCTGACTCTTGTGCCTGGGAGAACAGTTAGGTTTTGAGCCCTTTCCTTAACGCTAGCAAAATTGAGCTAAGCTAATTATGGGTCATGAGATGTTCCAAAGGGCAGGTGCTATGACAGAAAAGGCACGCTTCCTTGTGACACCAGATGTCATTCTTTAATCACTGGGACCTGCAGGATGCCATAGAGTGAGTAGAGGAAATAGAGAGACCTGGTCCCTCAAGCATGCCATAAGCTGGATAACAACCAGCTTTCATCTGGAAGATAACCTCCTAAACTTATTTTTATCATTATATTATTTCCATATAGTTTAAGATATTTCCTCTATGTCAGTGGTTCTCAACCTTTTTAATGCCGCGACCCCAACCGGTCGTAAGTCGAGGACTACTCAACCGGTCGTAAGTCGAGGACTACTCAACTGGTGCAGCACCGTTTGCAGAATGGGACTTTTGGCGGGCTCAGCAGGGCAGAGACAGCCTGGACAATTCCTATAGGCTTTTGAAAGCCAATAGAATTAGACTCTATTCAAGAGAGTCTATTCTATTGGCTTTCAAAAGCCAATAGAATAAAAGGGAGTAGCACAGCTAAGGAAAAGGGGGAAAAAATGGCGGACTGCATTGTTTGGTGACCCCTGTGAAATGGTCGTTCGACTCCAAATGGGGTCCCGACCCACAGGTTGAGAACCACTGCTCCATATTTATTAAATTTATGTATGTTTAAAACTTTAGATCATGCATGAAATCTCTTATAGCAGAATTTACCTCATTCTTAATGAACTTATCTCAGATTCTTAATGTTATGAAAGTGGGATATTAATCACTTGGAAAATTAATATTTTGTTGTAGTATAGGTCATATTTCAAGCAGCATTTCAGTTCAGTCTTGTAATTTAATAACCTACAGCAAACCTAGATAATTTACTTAGAAACTTCACTTTAATTCCATTTTTTGAAAGTACAAATTACAATTAATTAGAAGTAATTATTTGCAAATTGTAAGACCCAGTTTAGTGTGTTGCTTAAGATATCATGCTAGAAATTGGGAGTCGGTGACTTCTAACCCCATCTTGGGCACAAAGCCAGCTAGGTGACTGGGCCAGTCACTTTTCTTACATGTTGAATGAGTCAATGGCAAACGACTTCTGAAAAACCTTGTCAAGAAAACTGCAGGGACTTGTCCAAGCAGTTTTTGAGATTCTGACACACAAGAAAAAAAAATACAAATTCTAGAGTTAGTTTTTGCTGTAGTTAAGGTACTGGCCTAGAAACTAGGAGACTAGAATACTAGTCTTACTTTAGGCATGAAAGCCTAGGTGACTGGGCCAGTCATTCTCAGCCCAGCCCACCTGACAGGATTGTTATAGTAGAGAAAATAGGAGGAGAAAGGAGTATTAGGCATGTTACAAATCTTGAGTTATTTATAAAAAATAATAAAAGAAGGATTTTAAAAAATCTAATAGATAAATAAAAACAGAAGTGATTATATATTTTTCTGTTACAGCATCCATTGTAAGAAACAGACTGAATATTTTCTAAGCTCGCAGTTCACAAAAAGATCATGAAAACACATTTCTCCCTTTTCCTTCTTTTTTTAAAAGTGACCATAAAATATAGCCCACAGAATTATGTGTTTTATTTTTTTTTCTTTACCATTTTAAATCCAGGTAGTTTTAAGCAAACTGCTTAGTTATCCTGCCAAACTCTTTTGCTATTGCAAATATTAATTGTGACAAAGAGCTCACTATGTTGTGATTTGCAACCTTTTATCTCTTCTATTAACCTAATTGTGATTAACATAAACCCTGGAGAGAATATTGTGTCATTATGGCTAATTTTATCTCTCTTCAAAAGACGCTATCACCTTGAACTCCTATGGGGAAAAGTATCAAAATTTAATGAATTTCATCTCAAAATGAAAGCAAACATACTACAGTATACTATATTTTTTCAAGGTCTAACCATTTAAGAATCTTATATAAAAATACCAGGTATGCATCTCTTCTACCATTTATTTATTTATGAAAATTTATATGACTATCCAACTCACTCTCAATGACTACGGTTACTTACAAAAATAAAAACTCAATATGAAGACAACAAAAAAGCAATAACTTTCCAATTCCCAATAATCAATCTTCCAGGCTCCCTTCCTCATTCTGGGATTCCTTTTGGCTGATTGGCAAAACCAAATTTTGGGGCCTTGCAAAAGAGTGGAGGCAAATTTTATCTCTGCAGGGATGATATTGTATAGAGAGGAAGGCCCTTCTTCTTGGTCCTGCTAGATGTACCTCCTTAGGAGAGAGAACCCATAGATTCCCTACCTCCCCACTCTGAAGGTCCGGTAGAAAATGGTCTCTCAAATAACCATGTACAGCTTTGAAGATGACAACTAGCACTTTGAATTGGACCCGGAGCAAATCGGCAGCCACTGCAATTCCCATAGGACAGATGACACATGTGCATATTTAGATCAGCACAAAACAATGTATTTATTGTGATATAAGATTTTGGATTCAAAAGCCACTTCCTTGAGAACCTAAAATGTGATATTTACCTGAAAGAGGTATATGCTAATGTTTGTACAATACAGTGACAAAAGCATTGATAGCATTAGCACAGGATTCCAACATCATGACCTTAAATCAGTACAAAGCACTTGTCATACTTCTATTTGAGAATTGCATAAAAATATCACAAAATCAAATGTTCATTTTGAAATGCATAATATTTTTCCTTCAATAATTTTGTGTTTGTGTGTCAATTGATTACATACATTAAGGAGTGAGTGTGACCCTATTATATATATAATCACTATAGAGCAATTTCTTTCCAAATCATTGCTTATCATGAAATAAAGGAAATTAACCTGTTCTTCTTTGGTCTCACTGCAAATTGACTCATTATACACAAGAAGTGTGAAGAATGTTTTACCTTAAAGTCCTCCTCCTGCTCTGGAGTAATCTTGGAGTTTTATACGTAAACAAATTCTCTTTGTCAAAATCTGAAACAGAGTGGTGGAAAAAGTTATCCACCAATACACAATCTGATGGTAAAGAAAAAAAATCTTAAATAGTTAATGGCATTTTGAGCCTTAAATAGCAATTAACCTGAAATGATTTAAGTGTTCATATTTCAAAGCAGACAACATTGGGCAGAATGTAAGGATAAATGAAAGTAGAAACTTATGAAGTATGACTTAGAATTTAAAAATGCTTCTAAATCTTATTTCACCTATGTTTGGTCTGTACAAATCAGTCATATCCATTAATTATTTGTAGAACATGCATGTATGTATGTATATGTGTATTAAATCATACTTCTTTACAGAAGGGACGCCTCCTACATTGTACTTCCATGAAAATAATCATAATCATTCATAATCCCCAATAATCATCTATTTGGTAAATAAGCAGATATTAATAACTAGCAATTTGCTGATATTTCTTAACACAAACAATTTGGTAGGGATAGCTTTAAGAAGTAAAAATCACTACAAAGAGAGATTACTAGACTGCATATCTGATAAAAGCCCTTTCCGTAGACTTCAGTGTCTATACTAACTTCAAAATGATCCCAGACTATCTTGTAGAGTGTCTAGGACAATAATAAATACATAAATTTTCCTGAGCCCTGATAAAATCTCTTATGAAGAGATATTTTTAAAAAGGCAAGCTGTAAACAAAACTGTCAGAAGAGATTATATGAAAAAGTATGGAAGAAAAATTGTACAGCCTTTATCAGCAATAACCCATGACAGGGCTGAATCCCCAAAAATGGTGCCACGTAACCACCATTTTGCATCCATATTTGGCATTATGTCATCTATGTAATATGTACTAGAATGGGATGACATTGCTGAATTGTTTTTACAAACCAGCAGAGCAAATCACTCCTCATTTTCTATCTTTATCAATTTCCATGATTCTCAACTAAAAGAGACATAAATAGCAAGTAATCAATAAAATGTTATCTGTTCATCAGAAGAGAAATCATTTGGATAACCAGAAACCATTTTATTTCCTCTGTACTGTAAGAGGTTTCAAGTTTTTCCCATTACTCCATAACAAAGAAAACGTGCATTAAATTAAGGATTATATTACATATTATATAGTTATGATTTTGTTCGAAAATCATATCTTCCCAACTTTTTTTTTCTACCACAGTTTCACAATATTACATGTATGAGATAATTTTAAGTTGCCTTTAACTACACACTGATGTCTCCCTATCTGGATATCTTCTAACAGTAGCCTGAAGTATATAATATGTGTTTACCTTACCTTAGAGGGAAGTCATACAACAGGCAACAATTATAGTTAGGTGCCAGTTCAAGGATGGCGACTAACAATCCATCTTGGCAGAAGGGAAAGGCCTCAGGATCCCCTCAAAAATCATGTTAAAACTATCTACTTGGTACTGCAGCTGTTAATAACACTATGTCTGGTTAAATTAGAACCAGGCATGCATCACATTTTAAATGGTATATAACTCAATACAAGTTCTGGAATGTAATGCTCTCCACCATGAAAGTCTCAACATAGAACACACAGTAGGTTCTTTTCTATCCCTGAAGGGCAACACAGAAAAGGATGAAGAAAAGTTATGAAGAAGAAAAGGTCTAGGCGATTATTCTGGCACACTATTACCCATGAAATACCAAGCCACACTAGAATGGTTGAGCCCATAATTTGGTGTATACTTTCTAGACCAAATTCCACAATATTTTAATTTGCTATAAGCTCAAAACATTCCATAAGTAAAGTTTTTAATGATAATGTAGCACATTTGATAGCATATCTTTAAAAAAAAAATCTCATCCTCCCCCCCATTTAATTCCTTTCATTTAAACGACATAAATGTAGTGAATGAAGTTTAATGCTCCACAGGTTTAACTGCTAATCCAAAAAGCAAATCGAGTACTTTTTCCATTGCAGAAGTATAAGTATAATTTATCATTCATATACAGATATTAAAACTCTATTAATTAAACTCACTGGCAAGCAACACAAAGTTGCAAAATTTATTAAAGGTTTTTATATGGTTTCTTGCTTCCAAGTTTGAGCTCTTCACTCTTACAATCCTTTTTTTTTTAAATATGTTTGTCAGCAACCAAGCCTTCCCTTATTATAAGCATGTCTTGAAGAAATGAACAGTATCATAATAAAGCTTTAAAGGTACCTTGGCATTAGCAAGGACTTAATTTAACTGCTAGCTAAGCTAATTACATGATTAATACAATCTGATTTTTTTTAAAAAAAGACAATCCTTTGAAGGAGCAGTAAGATGAAGTGCTAAAATGAATGCTGATAACTGAATAAGCAAATGTGTTCTGTTGCTATTAGGGTGAGGGAAGAGAAGGGATACCTTGATAAAACAATTTGTTTACATTTAGAAAGCATATAAATTACAATGAATTGCATTATTTTTGATGTGGATATAATTCTTACCTTCCTGTTCCAAATATCTGACATTTTGCAAACAGCTGGATATCCAAGGCTTTCGAAACATGGATGCAGAAATCAAAGACACTTAGCAAAGGAGGAAACCACAAAAAGAGCTAATTCTTAGACAACCCTAGCCCCAAGCAGGCCTATCTAGTAATGTTGTGTAGAGATTATGCATAGCCCAGGTCTGAAACTGCGAGGCTGTTACGTCCCTAGGAGTACAGTAAATGCATAGTAATAGGCTGGAAAACTGGAACAGCTCAAAACAGTAATCATATTTCAAGCAAAAAATTAAGCACCTGAATGGATAATCGTGACTAGACTGGTAATACAACAGATTTTCCAAAGTGTTAGTTAACTGGGTGTTTATATTCCAGAATTTTAAAAATGTATATAATTCTTTTCCTAAGAAAAAAGAAAAATCTTTTCCATAATTTTTATGTATCTTAACTGTGAATATGAATGCGTGCACATACACAGACACACACACATGTGTGTGTGTGCGCGCATGCGCGTGCGCGTGCGCATGCCTTCAGGCCAATATTGACTCCTGGTAACTACAAGGACTAGTCCTGGAAAGTTTTCTTGGCAAGATTTTGGAACTGGTTTGTCATCAATTGTCCCATAGTGATAACTTAAACAGAAAACTTTAACAACCAATTATTCCACTCTGGAAAGATTTATGCTGGTATTCATATTCATTATGCCAAAGATATGTCTCACTAGAGAACATGCTACTAGCAAAAAATATTTTAAAAGTTTAAATTTATGGGCATGTGAATAAAGCAACCTATGATTGAGAGTGTAGGATAAAAGCTAAACAACTTCTAAGAGCCATCCATCTGCAAAATATTTTACATTCCAGATACACGGCATTAAGAATGCAGCTGCAAAAACCGGAGGAACAAAATTAATCTGATTTGTGACTTCATTTTAACCTTAATATTATAAGCTCCTTTTAAGCAGTTAAATCTTACACTTCCTTTAAAAAAAAGGTAATATAGTTTCTTCTCAAGACAAGTGAATGTTTTATGTATTTTAAATTTAAGATTTGACTCAAATTCAGATATTTTATTTCATGAAATATGGCTGTCCTTGCAGCAATTGAAAAGCAGACGGCATGTGTATCTCATTTCTATCATCTTGAATGAATTTTGTAGGAGACAGACCCTCAAAACCACAAGAAATTAAGCACAGGGTTCCAAGTGTTTAGGCCAGACTCATCCTGACTCTTTGAAATATATCAAGAGCACAACTCCCAGGTCAGAATTCTCCATTTTCCATTTGAAGTGAAAAAGTGGTTCACATTCCCAAAAAACTAGGGAACAAGTTCAACTACTTAAACAGTTCAAAAAGTGGCAGTAGGCCTTTCCTTTTATTTAAACTGCTCCACAGCAAGCTTTAATTGGTTGATTATAGAGAGAGACTGTAGCGTAAAGGCAGATACTGGCCTGAAAATCTGGCATACATGTAGCTTTACATGTAACTCTTCCTCCAAAAATCCCAATGAACTATAATTAAAACCACAGATAATAATTGTAATAACTGGGCTAGGTACTGAATACAACTATTGTTTTCTTTTTAAACTGGTAATGCCAAAAAATGCAGCACTTTTAATTCTTTTTCCTATTCATTTCTTTTTCTATAGATCAAGACAAAAAATAAAGATTATTCAGTGTCTTATTTATGGAAGTACATCCCATATACCATATATTTTATACATAGCCACCATTTCATAGAAATATTCTGCAATGGTTGAGAAATGTTTCCTATACTCAAATGGATGACAATTTAAAATGTGTTCTGTATTAATATTAGGGAAAGGGAAAATCTAGTGGAAAGAAGGAAGTAGACGATTTTAAGCTTTCTAGCTTGGGTGCTTAATTCAAACCCACCTCTGTTGTGTAAAGATGAAGAACCAAAGATAAAAATGTGCCTAGAGTTCTTGAAAAAAATAGCACTTATAGAATTTCCAGGATGTGACTGGGGCAAACTTCATGGTACTATTAAAGGATCTCTTATAGATGATACACAGACAGACAGACACTAATTAGTACCATTTTGCAAGTTTTAATTGTATAGATAGGACTTATATGGACACTAAATAGCTGAGGTTGATGGGTTCTACAGTTCAGTACATATGAAGGACATAGGGCTGAAGAGTTAATATTACATCTATTATGAATATAAAGAAAAATTATTTCACATCTTCTAAAATAGTTATCTACCACTGTATGAAGAATTGTTCTTCAGGTCAGTAGTTATATTTGCTTAATGAACTCATACTAACAATTCCTATTATATTTAGAAAAACTTGATTCAGTCATATTGACTTAGAGTCTCTTATTTTACCAGGGTGCCTGTTTTTACATAGTAGCCTTCCAAGTGAGAAACTTGGATGATATAAATACTCAGAGGCCCAAAGCTGTATAAATGGTGATATTCCTCATCCCTTCAGATGAATTAATTTAAATTGCTTTTCAATTTGATAGTTGTTTATTTAGAAGATAACATAGCTTGAAGTATGAGGAAATATTTCAGACAGCTCACTGTAATG